CCTGCAGATTTTACTATTACCCGAGCCTAAAGGTGAATCCAAAATACTAATTGAATAGCAAGGGTTAAGTATTGGGGACGAAATTTTTGTTCCTCGTGCATCTTTAAATTGACCATATGGTAACTTTCAGAGTCACGAAATAAAGTTTATCACCATGGCAATTACTCACTCAGATAGCAGTACATCTTTGTTGGAGACGTTGTAGGGAATACTTTGAGTGAATTTATAGGTTCCCACATCATAGCTTCTCAATACCACGTTCCACTTTGACTTCTCGTAAATGCCAACTATCGACAACTGAAGACAACATTCATATAATATATATATATTATATATATATATCTGATGGATCTGAACCATGAATAAACACTTTGATTGTCAAGACTTTGGCTCGAGGTTTAGAGATCTACAGACCAACTTCAAGGACAAAAGAAAATCGCGATAATTTAGGCCACAAATCACGGCGCCGCGACAAGTCAAACTAGGCAAAATCGCGGTGAATTTGCAGCGAAAGATAATGTATTTGCAGAGCTAAGTTAGATGTCATAAATTCGTCAACTAGCTTGTCAGTCTAGTTAGATTAGGGAGCGACAGGCTCGTCAGGCAAAACAATAACAATCTTTACTCTTAGTGTGTAATAGTATAGGTCTGTGCGGCTTCTAGTGATAATAGAAAATTATTATATAAGAATTATTATAAAAGTTATGTTATAGAAACAACTAACAAGGAGAGTAACTAATTACATATCGAGGCACTTTCCTTGTACCTATCGAGAATGACTCGGACCGAAAATTTTCTAAATCGAAATTATTTTCAAAGTTTTTCTGGAAACTACTTTTGTTCATGTTTCATGGCCCTGATCATTATGAGCAGAAATTACTTTTTCGGGCTGTGGATGTGATTAGTTCCATATAATTATAAAGAACGTGATATTTGGCCATCGTATTTAAAGGAGAATGCGCAAATTTGGTCCTCAGAGAACTGGAATAATCGCGATTTGTCGCGAGGATCTGAGAAAATCGCGATTCTGCACGTGCCGCGATTTCCTTTTGACCTTGAGACCTACAGAACAAGTCAAAAATTTCTTAGTTAAGTTGAAGTCCTACTTGTATCTGCTCGAGAGTATTAGAGTTGAAAGCAGTGATACCAGCTTCACCCTGGTTTGAGATGCTGACTCCCGCAGAGTTGAGTGGGGCTGCTAGACTTGGTGTTATCAGAGCTGCCAACATGTACGATACAGCAACTCATTTATACTTCTACAGTCTTTCCTAAATTAAAATGTTCAATTTAATTCGTATCTTGCTCCGGCCTATATATAGTTTTAATACTTTTAATACTACTATATAACAAATAATTTGAGGAAACGATGTAACAGCTGAGTTGATATATTGTAATGTTGCCATGGGGTGGCAAGTCCCGGTATTTTCACTGCGTCCTAATATAGGTCAATATATATACAATCATAAAAATCTCTTACCGCCAAAATTCCGTTAACTTCGTTTATTGATATTCTCTTACAGATTTTAACAGATACGGAAAATAACGGTTGATAAATAAAAACAAGTCATGGAAATGATAACATGACCTACCAAGAAAAGCTATCGACCTTACAAAATACAGTACACAAAACTGAAACACCAGGTTCCTTGCTAATAAACATAAATTTAACAGTTAACATGCAGTTAACACCTGGTGTTACGCGACTAGACAAGAGAATTATATAGGTCCAGCAACCTGCACACACCTTCACCAGTATAGCAGCCCCTTATAATTGGGGGCTATTGTTGGGGTGTCTCTCTGTCCTGTCATTGGAGCTGCCACATGACGTTACATTGCCCCGGAAATGCGTACAGGTGCGTTAATTTGTTCCTTATATTGCAACACTTTGCTTCACTGCTTACACTCTTATAGAGACGAGTATACGAAACACGTGGTCAAATATTCCGAGGGGTTGCTAACCCGCTCAATAAGAAATAACCTTGGATGGCAACAAACAGGTGATATCAAGACATTGTCCCTTAAAGACAGGAGGGGTGTCGATGAAAAACAAAGTGAGCCTATATTATAAAGATACAGTACCTGTGTACCTGGTTACCCCGGAAACTAGACCTGTTTAAGTGGCATATTGTTTTAGTTTTGTAGGAGGGCTTCAGGAAGTGGGCCAGGGGGGGGGGGGGGGGGGGGGGTTGACATTGTGTATTCTCGTGATGTAATACCACTTCCTGCGTGAGAGAGAGAGGTCTTCAACGATCGATTAAAGGATTACGAGGATTAAAGTATTTTGTTTTGAAGTATAAGACGGAGGGTTGCTCAAAACAAAGCAGCTATTTCGAGATATACTCCCGGCCCCGTCACGAATCTGCGAGATGGCCAAAAACACACATAAATATCAGCAAATGTCATGTTTCAATACATTTGGGCAGTACACAATCATCCATTTTTACGTTCTATTTTGTATTTTCAAATTATTAAATTCAACTTTCAATGACCCTGATCTTCACAATTTTGTAGCTAAAATGTCATGTAGCTACTCTGTTGGGAATATAAATACGTCATGCTGTCCACTGTGCAGCTACTAAAATAAAAAGTACATAAATACGTTTTCATTCGGCGTTTGCAATTTGTATATTATACTTCTGCCAACTTTAATTTATTATCATTGCTAATATATATAAGAAGTATGGAATTTTTTAAATGCGTTATTATGTTGTAAACTTGCTAGTATATTATAAGTGGTCTACGTGAAAGTGGGCGTTCCTAACTGTGTCAATCTACACTCACAAGTATCAAACGATCGGGAAGTATATCCCAATATCAAGAACAGAAAAGGAGAGAAGTGTGTCTCTACAATTTGGTCAAATCAGAAGTGTGTCCGATACAACAGTAAGGAGTGGGCCTTACTAAACTTCAACAACAAATACGTAACGGTAAAGGAGAGAAGTGTGTCTCTACAATTTGGTTGTATCAGAAGCGTGTCTGATACAACAGTAAGGAGTGTGCCTTGCTAAACTTCAATAACAAATACGTAACAGTAAAGGAGAGAAATGTGTCTCTACTCTCTACAATTTGGTTGTATCAGAAGCGTGTCTGATACAACAGTAAGGAGTGTGCCTTACTAAACTTCAATAACAAATACGTAACAGTAAAGGAGAGAAGTGTGTCTCTACAATTTGGTTGTATCAGAAGTGTGTCCGATACAACAGTAAGGAGTGGGCCTTACTAAACTTCAACAACAAATACGTAACGGTAAAGGAGAGAAGTGTGTCTCTACAATTTGGTTGTATCAGAAGCGTGTCTGATACAACAGTAAGGAGTGTGCCTTACTAGAAACTTCAATAAAAAATACGTAACAGTAAAGGAGAGAAGTGTGTCTCTACAATTTGGTTGTATCAGAAGCGTGTCTGATACAACAGTAAGGAGTGTGCCTTACTAAACTGTCTAAACCTTAACAGTAAACTTATAAAGGTGCATGAGAAGTGTGTCTCATTAAAAATGTCTAAATAGAATAGAAAATAGTGATCGAATAATTCGATCAAATAACGTAGTGTTCGTAATAATATTAAATTCTCTCCAAAAGGGGGGCGGACACAGAGACGCCCGTACTCAACTAGTCGGCCCTTAAATAGGCTGTTCTCACGCGTGAATATAAGTCACGCATGAGTAAAGCTTCCGCGTACTCGTACTTACACGTAAAATGTAAAGATAAGAAATGTAAATGGATGTAACCTAGCACTAAAAGGATTCTAAAAGATGCTGCAATATAAAACCTACGAAATTACTTTACTCTAATTATGGACAGCAGGGATCGACCGGGGACGAAATTTAGCCGGGGCCGGGGCCGGGACCAAGTTGAATCAGCCGGGGCCGGGATTAACCGGGATTTTGAACTGTTGCCAAGGCCGGGGCCGGGGCGGGATTGGCTAAAATATGCCGGGGCCGGGGCCGGGGCCGGGATTTTTTAATATAATTTTGAAAATTTTTAAAAGTTTCCGGAAACTCGTATCAATGTGAGCTAGCTTCAAGGTCAACCTAGAAGGCAGCTACACAATGTTTAAGTATAATTACACCATCTGCATCATCATCTGCATTGAGTCGGCCTCACTCTCTACTGTTTTTTGCTCCTGAACTGAATTGTTTGACGTTTGTACTAGTTATATGAAAGAAAACGGTACACGAACACATGACTTTACTCGAACTTTTTAATCAACCTCGAACTTTTTTAATCAACATTAATATTTTACATTCTTTGTAAATTCAAAGTTGAAATTTTCTGAATATCAAACTGGAATGATGTCAAGTCATCGTATTTATATTTTTCACTCGATCTCATGTTACCAAAAATGTTGTGTTTAATTTAAGTCTAAAAATCAAGATAAATTCAGATAATCTATCGGTTTAAATTGAGGCAGAAAATACGAGAAATCCCGGCAAAAATTGACTAAAACAGCCGGGGCCGGGGCCGGGATTGGGGGCCTCTGGCCGGGGCCGGGGCCGGGATTTTGAAAATTATTTTGCCGGGGCCGGGGCCGGAAAAAACACAAATCCGGGGCCGGAAAAAACACAAATCCCGGCCGTATCCGGGGCCGGGGCCGGGATCCCGGTCGATCAATGTTAATGGACTATAAGAACTTACCATTAAACTATAATATAAACTGTACTAAAAACCTAACTTAACCCTTGACCCTAATAATTTGACCCTAATCCTACTTTACTACAATTATACATTTTTTGTAGTAAAACCTTTTATAAGTTCCGAGTACGGAAGTCGCGGTATAATTTTAGTATATTTGTAGCTTATTTCTTGTAAAAAACCTGCACTCTCGCCAATAATTTTAACACCAAACATTTAGTCCCGGACTGTTTTGACGGGCACGTGTTTTCTGTTAAACAAACTTTCACAAGTCTAAACAATCCTACCAGCTCGTCAAAACAAAACCCGTCCCGATTACAGAAAAGCTCGAGTAAACCACCACAACTAGTTATACCTTCCTCTTATCCTTGAGCTGCTAACCTGGGTCAAATCATGAAGTTGTTACTGGTTGCAGGACTTAGCGTCCTCGTCTCTCTGGTTGTCTCTGAGAAAGATGAGGCTGTGTGTGGGGATTGGTCAACTATAGGAGCTTGTGTAAAGTGAGTTTTTAAGTTTTGTATTACCCATGTTATTGCCTTGGATACGGTATGCTCCAGATTTTATTTCTCGGCTGACCTCACTTTCTCTCAGCAATGATAAAATAATGAAATAACAATCGTGATGGTCAAACATGATACCCATGTTATAAAAAACATTTTAAAAAACATTTTGATATGAAACGTGTAAAAACTGATACAATTGCTGTTTTTCAGCAATGGAACAGACTGTGTACAGCCAGTATTCAAAGTTTGTGAAGGTGACGAGGAGGAGTACCAGTTTGGGACTATGCTATGCGACTGTGGTAAGATTGTTGATACAAAGTAACATTTCCCAACCACCTTTTTACAGTTCGCTTTTCTCTTTGACCTCTTGTTCGAGACAATCACATGGGTTCTGGGGCTGTAAGCCAATTTCCAACAAAACCAGGATTATATATTTTGACCGTCAAATAAACAATTCTCGTTTTCTCATTTTTAGGTTTAGTGATAATTTTGATTAGTTTTTAAAATCAATATGGTAGACGATGAAGACGGTGAAGACAATGAAGATGATGAAGACGATGGAGACAGTGGACCCTTATCTTCTGGAAGTTCTCTAGACAATTCAAATAGCGACAGCGACGACAGTATAGACGTTGGAGATGTTGGAGACGATGAAGACGATGAAGACGATGAAGACGATGAAGACGATGAAGACAATGAAGACGATGAAGACGATGAAGACGATGAAGACGATGAAGACGATGAAGACAGTGAACTCTTCTCTTCTGGAAGTTCTCTAGATAATTTAAATAGCGGGGAAAAGTTTTGCGTTTCAGACTGTAAAGATCAGTATCCCTTCCTGGCTACCTATCAAACTGGTCTTGATCTCAATCTCCAACAACTCTGTCGTAACAACCGTAAGACACATTTACTGATATTTCAAGTAACTTAAATTATTTCCTTCATTTGACATTCAATATGGCCATATGTTTTCTCAACAAATACCACTTGTTTTCCCGAGCTAACTGACACTTGTTTCCTTGGTAATAGTTTTGAGCTCTTATATTCCCAGTAACCACGATATATGTGACCCTAATCTCCTAGTAAATAGTAACTAACCTATATTTCCCCAGTAACTGACACTGTTGGAGGAAGAGGAGGAAATGGTTGTAGAACAGATGATTGGATTGTAGTAGAGACTTGCAATGAGGAATGCCACGAGTTCAATTGGAGAGCCAGTTACCCGAGTTATTGTGATGTTGAGGATATGTGGCTTTGGTGCTGTAAACCTAGTTAGTTAATTAGCAGCTTTTTTATTCGTCTGGTTACCTTTAGAGTGTAGACTTTTATTTATTTTCTAACTTTTAGTTTATTGTTAACTAAACAATCTTTAGAGTCCCTGTTCTCATAACCCCCTTTCCAGAGGCTGAAACCACTGGAACAACTGTGTGTGGAGCGCATGATGTGGATGAGGTTCCTTGCGTGGTTACAGCAGACAGGCGTGTCATAGACGACTTAGTTGTGAGTTAAGAAACTTCTTCACTCAGAGAGTGCTCTTCGTAAACTAGTTATATGTGTCATTATGGCATGGTGTAGATATGCTTTCTTTCAATGATAATCTTTAAAAAAAACATGACGAATTGGCGACTGATAAATGAATTATCGTCCAGATTAGCTGGGTTGATGCGGACGGTGTTGACTTGGTAGGAACTGCTGGGTATGAAGTGAGTGTAACTTACAAAATACAGGAAGATAAACTACTATCTGTCTTAACAGGTCAGAAATGTTCACGTTTGTTTCTTTGTTTTGTTTATAATCACTCTTTATTTACACTCACTTTCCTGACTATTTTCGAACGTCACCAAAGGTCCTCATCAATTCATAATGTATGCAGCAAAGCTTAATGAACTATGACTATTTCAATCATTTAAGCTGCTAAATATATCTCCAAATTATACTGACGTGGAACACCCCAGTGAACTCGTGGGTAGTAGCCGGAAATTCAGCCGTGGTAACATGTCAAGTTAGAGGATCAGGGGCACTAGAGGGTCAGGGGGACTACGTAAATACCGAGGAACCTGCTCAAATCAATAAATTCGGTGAGTTATTCTACGTACGTTAACTTTAGGATTATGTTTAAATGTGTATTTTGGGAGATACTTTTTGTAGCTTTTGTAGCTTGCTTCTGGGAATTCTGTGATTCTTCTGTATGGCTATCTATATTACAATAACACGGCAGATTGTAAAGATCGCATTAAATAACAGATATAAACATTGACCCTCTTCGTTTGGATTTGTCACTTAATGACATAATCGAGTATTGTCACAATAAACTCGACGCTGTTTCTCAGGTATTGAAGTTACTAGCAAATACCAGAGAGTAGGATCAGAAGCTCAGTTGACATGTACTGGAGTGGGGACTGATAGGAACGATCAGGGGTACTTTTTCTCTTGGTACTACTGGAATGAGTCTGGAACGAAGATGCCAATAGCTGCCCTGGTTGGTACCACTTGGATTTAGTATAAACTTATAGGAGCCAGCAAGAAACTAAAATAAATTCGACCTTAACGTCCCCCGCTTGAACAATTAAAAAGGAAAGCTTTATTGATGCAACTTGAAATATCTTTCACACCTTATCAAGGTCATGCAATTGCAGGAAAGCCTCAGCGCCGAGCTGAGAATTGAGAACAGTGAATGGGTGTCAGTGCTTACCATTCCTGCAGGTAATCAGCTTGGTTATCGTCATAAAGTTTATAACATGCATTCATTACTTGATTTTGTTTAGCATTAGATTTGATTGACTATTTATACATGTTCCAACTTCAGGGTCAACGCCATAGTTTGCCCTAAACTTAGAGTTGGCAAACGACTTGCATGTCTTCTCATTTCTCAAACTCATTTCTAAATTCTATATTGGCAGAATGTAGTTGTTACGATATATATAATTACGAAGCATTATTTAGAGATATTTGCATTACTGTAACGAGTTCCAACTGTAAGGTCGACATCGAGTTTTGCCCCCCCCCCCCCCCCAGACTAAGAGTTTGGATAAGACTTTCATGCCTTCTCATTTCTAAAACTCTAGGTAGACTTTTTATTCTCTACTAATCATGATTTGTGACAACATCTTTCCACAGAGAACCAAGTGATCGGTTCACAGAACTATCAATGTGTCCTGGATTACTCCTCGGTTGACAAGTGTGGAATCCCTCACTCCACCAGTGGTGACGCTACCGGCACACTCATTGTATGGGGTTAGTGGAACTAGACATTTATCTTAATCGCTTCGGCAATGCTCACAGTATGTTTATTTTTAGATTAACATAATGATCCCCTTCATCAAAAGGTTTTCTTACCCTCAGTTTTGTTGCGATTTAAGATTGACGTTTACTTAAAGGTTAACATGCTCTACAGATGTGACTGCAGATACTGATTGTATTCATCCTGGAGATGAAGCTGTTCTGAAGTTTACCGTATTGGGAACCAAAGAAATCAGTTCTGTCTCGGACGGGATCATCGAATCTCTGACTAAAGGCACCATGGTAACTACTGAAAGTAAGTCTCTCAGAGCAGTTTTTTTATTGATCATAATTATTATTATACAGCCGGTTAATAACCGGTTAATAGCCGGTTAATAGCCGGTTAATAGCCGTTAATCTTCTTAGCGGCAACTATCAAGTTAAATCGGCTGTTAAATCACACCTACAGTCTACACTTCCCAGCTACATTTAGAGATGGGTTCCTGATGAGGTTATCACGCAATGAAGATGAGGAGATCGTTGTCACGCTAACAATCTCTCCCAACATGACTGAGGAGGTGGGTAGTGAATTCTTCATCACCTACACCGGAACAGAGGGTAAAGAAGGCGTGGAACCTAACCTGGAGCTCAACGTTATGGGTTAGTTGAAGTTACAAATCATATTAAATAGGAAAAGATCTGAATACTGGTGGAGAGGTGGACCACATTTTTTAAAACACGTGACCGCGATTTAAAACACGTGACCGCGATTGAACAATCACAACAGCAGCGTTTCGTTTTTAACTAACGAATCAGATACTTTTTTCTCGAGTTGTAGCCACCAAACATTTTGGCCTATACTTTCTTAACAATCACAATTTCGCTGATTAGACATACATACATAGCTGTGCCTATGAACATGTTAGCAGAATTTGTATTTTAAAATAAGTCTGAAGATCCCTTTATGATACCTCTTCACTCTTCAGATATGGATGTTGCTAGAGACCCTGTTGACAGCGACTTAGATGTTAGTGAAGATAACTACAGCGCAACAGGACGGGTATATGGAGGAATTATCAAGAACCCCGTATGGCTAGATGATAGTGGCCGAACTTACAGGTAAGTGATTAACTAAGTAATTGATTGACTAATTAGCTAATTAACTAATAAGCTTATTTATTAATTGGCTACTTAACTAATTAACTGATAAAAGTGTAACAAAAGAACATGATTATTGAACATATTTATTGAAATGTCATGTTTATTATTCTCAGACCTGGAGTCAATGCAGATGGTGTCATTGTAACTGTTTCTGAAGATGAAACGTCGTCTACAATAAAAGTACCCATAGAAGTTGCTGACCAGTTAGATATGTCAGATTTGTCTCTGCATGCAGGCCTGTACTCAGAGTTCAATAAATACTGCAGAAGACAGGTTGTCAAGGTTCCCCTTCCTGGTACGTCTATATCTTACGGCTCAGTTTGTAATAAAGGATAAGCATTGTTCAAATTCTCACCTACATTTTTAAAAATAACACTATTATATTTGAAATGTTTCTTAAAAACTCAGCCCCAATAATCCTCTTCTCCCTGAACACAGAGCCGGATATATGTCAACCAAGATGGGATGTGGCAGTGTGTGACGGTCGAGGCAGCTGTTTTGACTACATTCAGGAGCGTACCTGGTCTTGTTATTGTAACGATGAGTTAGCTGACATATCCGAGTGTGATGTTCCAGACGAGATACTCACCTTCACTTGTCCTGCTACTGCAGACTGTTAGTACAGTGTTATGAACTTTGACAAGATTAAGATATAACCACGAAAATATGTTTCATCCCTATTCACAGATTCCATCCTGTACTTAAACTGAAATCCTACTCCTATCCTCAGATGAGCTGGGAGGATTTGATAATCCTGAGGATGTCTGTGACCAGAGTTCAGAGCAGTGTTATCCATACCCTAAGTTCCTTAGGAGGTATTACCTTTCAATATTCTTGATGCTCATTTGTATTCTTGGGGGACACTATGTGCTTCCTCACGACGCACATTTTCATGCTTCGCTTCGATAGATGTTTCGGTACAGTCAAGAAATATTCAAACTAATCTGTATTCTGGGGTACAAAGTGATGGGAACATATTATTGTTGTATGTTTTCCCCCTACAGGACCTGTTACTGTCAAGATAGCAATGGTCAATACGAAGATGACACTGGTAGTTCATGTGGCAACGCCGAATTGGCAAAGCTCCATTATTGTGCAGCAACCAAACCATGTAAGCTTCTTTTTATTATTTTTGAGTAAAACCAAACCGTGTTACTTAGATGATTGTGTTTCATTGTCAAAGAAACGACCTAAAAAACATGCAAACACAAGGTACAAACCAAGCAAATCGAAATCGAGAAAAAAATTCAGTCGAAATCTAAAAACAGCTTACCAATATAACAGTGATCGATCAGGGTTGGTCGGCAGCTGGCAGAACGGAGAGTGCGCCTCAGAGTCCTGCTACTCCTCAGAAACTGTCGACACCAGGGACTGCTACTGTGATGGTATAAACGACAGGAGCAAGTGTCCTGATGACCAGCTTGTGAGAAGCAGGTTCTGTCCAGCAACAAATGACTTCCAGTGGGGACCTTGGGGACCAGAGGTGTGTGATCTGGAGGATAGGTGTTACCCTTCATCCGAATATAAGATCAGGTGAGTCTACACACGCTCAGTAGTTACATTGATAATCAGATGTTTTAGTTGGGTCAACGTCTCTCTTAAACTTCTCATTAGCTACGAACTTGGATTTGTTCTAACTTTATAACGATCCTACAACAAGAAAAAAGTTGCTTTGTTTTGTCCACAGCTCCTGTACCTGACCAACCCTTTCAGGATTTGTACCTGCTCACACTACGGGCAATACATCAATGACAATTCTTACTGTGAGGGAGAATCTGAGATCGCTTACACCTGCGGTCCTAACATTGAATGTGAGTTCAACTTTCAGCAACTGAATTTCCATCTATTCTTAATTTCCTACCCTCCCACTCAACCTATCTTTTTAGAAAACGAGTGCTTTTTGTAATGTTGATATTTGTCTGTCAGGGCGCCCAGAAGAGAAAGGTGATCCTTGTGAAGATTCAGATGAATTATCTTGCAGCGCTTTCTCTGCTTTCCAGCAATACAGGTCGGCAAATTTATCCCAATTATTTCGAGCTACCAAACAATAACTACTAAACATACTAAACACTATTTTAATAAACTAGTCTTTACTTCTACTGCCGCTTTTTATTTATTCTACCCCCTCTTGGTGCCGTTAGAATAAGAAGCACGGAAACTGACGTATCACTAAGATAAGATCGATAAACACAAATAAACAATTTGTTTATCAGGTGTCTCTGTGAGCATGGTAATATCCTGGAGATAGACGATGACTTGAGTCTGTGTAACGCTCGGCCTACGCCAGTTCTCTGTGCGGCTAATAAACCATGTGAGTATAAATAATACTTCATTAAAAGGACCACTCACTACAGATTAGATAACTTAACCGATTATCAAAGACCATAATCTATTTGTAAAATTGATCGAACATGACAAGATATTCAAGGTAAATAGAATGGAACGTAATCGTACAGTTTACAACCGATAGAGTTATCATATTTTTACAGTTGAGTGGTCAGAGTGGGTGCCGGTTTCAGAGTGCAGTGTCTGTTACCCGGAACTAGACCAGAGCATGAGTAGAACATGTACTTGTGGAAACAAGGTTGATCTTACCAGGTCGGGACCCGTCCATTTTATAATAACGTTAATAATAAAATATAAAGAAGACACGCGTATCGGTTCATGAAATTGTATTTAAATTTTGGGTAGTACTTTTCTCATAATTTAACATCAAACGTTGGCACACGTTTCTTTTTTAGGTGCCCAGGACCCTCCAAGACGTCTGAACCATGTCCAGCTCCCAAAAACATTGTTTGGCTACCCACAGAGTGGAGTGAGATTCCATGTGGTGAACCCTCCTGTAATGAGGAAACTTTCTCATACAGGTTCAATATATTTATATATTATAGACCCTTCGATGACATAGCTCCATCAAAATTCAGTTTATTGTTGCTCTCATTGTTTGCCTCATATCCCAAAAACAACCCTCTCATATTCTCCTCTGATCCCAATAACAACACCCCTGTACTTCTACCCAGGACACGTGATTGTGAATGTGAGGGAAACAAAGATAACAGGCGTTGTGGTGATGTGGATCTGTCTGGAGTTTCCTCTTGTGGTTTCGCTGATTACGTACTAAGTGAATGGAGCGATGACATCTGCGACGAGAAAAAATGCCATTCTTACTCTAAAACTAAAACCAGGTAAAAATATTTGTTTTTATATCTTTGTCGTCTTATTTGCCAAGAATCTTAATCCAACTGAAATTACCAAGCAGTTTACCGTTGTTCCATTGGCATAGATTATTGTCCTTCAAGCAAAGATCAGCAACCGGTTATATCAGGGTCGTTTAGGTAGATTTACACATCACTCCGTCAGGTCCTGTGTATGCCAAGATGGTGATGGATCTTTTACTGATCTGGAACAATGTGATGCTGGAGAGGAGGGATATAGTGAGGAGTTCCAATGCGAAGGAGATAGCTGTGAGTTTACCATTTTATTTTATCTACGAAATTCCTCAAACAGTTTTCCTTGAATACCCTAGATAGAGAATGTGATCGTGATATCTAGCAGATTTTAATGAGCTAGATCTAAATCGTATAATTTTTTAGTCGAATGGGGCGAGTGGCAGTCAAGAGGATGCCCGGAAAGCTGTTTCTCGTCAAAGACCAAGCGATATAGAATTTGTTCGTGTCATGGAAATGTTGATTTCAATTTTTGCCCCGATGGGGCTGCTATTGAGTTCCTCGATTGTCCAGCCTCCGATTGCTAAGAAATGCCTAAATTCATTATTTGATGATTTTTCTTCGCTCGATTATTTTTGTGTTTCATTTAGTTACCCTACAAAAAGTCGGAAAATGAAGTAAAATTGATTCGAAGCTGCTGAAAAAAAGGTTTCTGCAAATACTAAAAAACCATACTTTCAGCATTGATGATTGAACATTAACTGACTATAAATTGATCATTGGACAAGAATTCAGGCGACACAGTGAAATTTAGGTTTAGGAAACCGTTTATCTTAAAATGCACTACCGATACTCCAATAGTACACTTTTGTGATCTTCAATGTTTCAACGATTTGGATGAATATCTTGCTTCCAGCACTTCAATCATGTCTAGTGAACTCACTAAATCTAATTGGTCTCTGTACAAAATATATAATACAAGGTGGCCCAAAAGTAACTACCCACACGCAAGCCTTAAATAACTCACGTAATTGGCACCAGAATTACTTAAAAATTTCAAAGAATATAGATAAAATATATGGGTCAAACTTAGATTTCCTAAAATTTTCGTAAAATTTCATCAATTATATACAGAGGGTGTGGCACACCACTCCCCCTTTTTCTCTTTTGTCAACATAAAGTGAGATAGTTTTGACTCCAAAATTTCCAGACACATGTGGTTTGATAACCGAAGTGCTTTCCTAAAATTTCAAGTTGGTTGTTTACAACTAAGCCGAATTATGACCTTTTTAAAGTCTTTCGGATACGTGATCTCTGCATCTAATCAGTGATTGTTACTTTCCTTAAATTAAAGAAATTCACGTTATAGCGCTTCGGTTGCTCTCCTATGAGCAGGTTGTAACCAATCAGACCATTGATTGAATGAAGAAATCACAGATTAAGTGCCGAGAACGTGTATCCGAAAGACTTTAAAAGGGTCATAACTCGGCTTAGATGTAAACAACCAACTTGAAATTTTGGGTAAGCACTTCAATTATCAAACCACATGTGTCTGAAAATGTTGGAGTTCCTAACTCAAAACGTTCTCACTTTATGGTGATAAAAGAGAAATAAAGGGAGTGGTGTGCCACACCCTCTGTAATTGATGAAATGTTACGAACATTTCAGGAAATCTAAGTTTGACCCATATCTATATTCTCTGAAATTTTTAAGCAACTCTGATGCCAATTACGTGAGTTATTTAAGGGTTTCGTGTGGGTAGTTACTTTTGGGCCATCCTGTATATTCAAATGTACGCTTTCCTGGAACTTAATTTCACAGTATTGACTGAATTTGTAAAGTGACCAATTACTCAGTTAACTTATAACTATGCATGCTAGAAAACACGATTAAATTGAGGTACATGAAAGTCAGATGTCCAGAGAAAGAGTTTAAATAGGGCCTGTCGTGATATCATGGATCGCTTAGGTTCCACCAGGATCTGGTAGTCCTCATAATTCTGCGGCCTCTATGTGTCGTCATCTCGCACAACTCCGAAAAACCGTTGTGAGTTTGGCATGTGAAAATTTGCAGCCCTCCAGACATCGATTGGGTTAACGAGTTGTCGTACGTCACCTCAAGATCGGGTGACAGGGGGCTGAACAGGTCAGAACCCAATTGATTGGGTCGGAGGTCACGTGATTATGAGCCTGAGGTCACGTGACTATAACGTCACCAGAGCTGAGAGCTCGTTCTCCGTTTCCCGCTCTTTGGACCAGGTGAGCTTGCATGCTTGTGAAAGTGGGTGTAAGTACAGCTGTACTGTAGTTACATCCAATTACCCCTAATAGAACGAAGATTTATTTTCTGACAGAAAGCTAGAAATTTACCAAAATATCGACTTTGTTCAAAATTTATTTTGATGACCACTCCTGACCTAAAATTGCACGAGAAATCGATTAAACTTGGTTTCAGAACTCAACAATGCTTCCTTATGCCTTAAAATCCATTTTTATCGATACAATAAACATTTTGATCCTGTGGATTAATTAGTAACAGGTAACAAATGCACAGAAAAAACCATCGCACTTACATTGCATTCTTAACGGGTCGATTTCGAGTGACCAATAATCGTCGGGATGATATTTATACGTCATGCGTTCCTGATCATCATCAGCAATCAAGAGACAGGAGCGGCGATTGCTTTAAATCAACGGTTTACGTTATTTTTGTGAATTCGACCCCTGTTTTAACGGTTAGCACACTTTGTAATTGAATGTATTGAGGATTTAGTGAACAACCACCAAACGGTGAATATATTTTTGTCCCATTTTCCAAATATAAGCAACCTGGGCTCCCTGAACCAGAAGTTTTGCAAGATATACCTTACAAAACTTCTGGTTCAGGGAGCCCAGGTTGCTTATATTAGATCTGTGAAAAAAAGTGTTTTGACTCATTTTCCAAATATTAGCTTTCCTGGATCAATATTTACTGTTTTGATGGAATTTTTGCACGAGACATGATGGAGTTAGTAGAAGCAATATGTCAGGCAAATCTATGGAAAATAAAAGCTTACCAAAATGTGCTACCGGTAGTACATTTTCAAATATACCCTTTCTGGGACCTTAATATCACAGTTTTTACTGAATTTTTGTCCAGTGACCAATTAGTCAGTTGAATAATCTCTCTCTCTCTCTCTGTTCTGGTCGACGGTTTCTGACCTCCTACTTTAATAGGGAAGTCTTATCGCCGTACCCACAGAATGCAACTCCTACTAGCTGCACGCCGAGACTCCCAAAAGCCCAAAGTATATACGAAATCATAAAATAATAAATATCAATGCAACAGACCCCTGGAGTTTTGAAGCTGTCGCTACCTGGCTCAGAGCAAACCCACTTCCGTTGTAGTACTTCTGCGGTCAGACAAGTGACTTCCGAGCAAGGTCAAAGCCTGGGAGATATGTCTTTATGCAGAGATGGGCCTAGGTTGAGTTCCTAGTGTGGGATTTAGCAAAAGTTCCTGGTGAATCCAAGGAGGTTACCCAAAAGAGTTTTCCCTATCCAGTCTTGTCGACTGTTCCACAAATTTGAAGATATATGGTTGAGTTTACTGTTGTTAAGATCCTCTGTAGGGTTTTACCGATTATCCTAATTCTGAGCGTCATGATCTGGATGCACTTGCAGAGGAGGTGCTGGGATGTTTCTGCTTCTTCTGAAAAGTGTTCACAATCTTGCGTCTCGAAGTTGACGTTGTTGGGAACCGGTCACTGCGGCGGAAGTCACTGCGGCGGTGGACGGTACAGCAGAGGACGGTACAGCGGAGGACGGTACGGCGGTAGTTTCCAAAAAGGTTGGACGGTACGGCGGATCACATGACACCCACTTTACTTTGGACAGTACGGCGGTACTACTACTACTAGAAACTGTACCTAAGACAGAACTTACACATTCAACTTGTTTCTAAGTTTTGTTCTAGATTCGCATAAGTTTTATTTTTTCTTTTCTCTTTATCATTTTGTATAATTCTTGTTAGTTTAGTTGTTCATTTTTTTATTCAGGGCTTTGCAGACAATGTAAATCGATAATATTGAGTTGTTGAAAATCAAAAAGTTAATATAACTTGACACACTCAATAGCATTAGCAATAATATCTAAATCCCACAAATCATTATCAAGAAGTTACAGCAATCAATAATTCACATAACACTTCTGAGCAGATCCAGGTAAGTCAAGACATCATCTACGTAAGAGTGGTAGTTCTGCACGATGCGGTGAATCCTCCTGTCCTTGTCGCTGTGAGCTTTCTTCCTCTTCGGTGGGTTCTCTCCATGATGTTGTCTGGAGAGAAGTTGCCAAGACTGTCGAGGGCTTCGAAGGCTTCCTTGTAGATGGGGGTATCCTTGTGGGTGAGGAGGATGTAGATGCAAGGGAAGACCCAGGTAGCGTCCTCGTTGAAGTTGACCATCTCAGCGTGAATGGTGAGGAGTTGGTAGAAGAGCTGAGGAGAAGAGGAGAAGGTCGCGTCCACGTACCAAGAGCTGCTGTCCTCTAGGGCTCGCAGGTTCTTCTCCGTCCCAAAGATGATAACTCGTCGCTCGTCGTCTTTGTTATCAAACAGATCGTGGACTTGGGAGAGGGTTTCTCGGACTTCGCAGTCAGCTATGTCTGCACTGTGGTTTTGAGGCTGGGTGACTGACACCGTTGAGGGTGTAGACTGTAGAGTCGTCCCTTGCATCTGTCGTTCTTCTTCACGCACCTCCAAGCCTGTCGTCCATCCAGAGTCGGCTTTCTATCTTTGGAACTGTTAGCAGTTCTCCCTCAACCACCTTCACCGTATCTAATATCTTCATCGAACATCGTTGTAGCTGTTGTAGTGTTGCAGTACTGGAGATGGTAGTGCTAATGAGATACTCTCCTCAACTTTGATCCGCTTTATATACTGTTTGCCTCTATCATTATCTACGTTTCACTGAGCAACCTCTCTTCTTGGCTACGGTTGATCAGATTCCTGGATGCGATCCCTCGTGACGTGTTCTCATGCCCTTGTTATTACCCATTGCATCTCGGCGCAGTGATATGAGATCTCACCGTAACAAGCTCATCATGCACTCGCTTAACCACAGTTGTGCAGACCAGACGCGATCTGATACGAACCAGAAAGTGGAACAAGAACTGTTCTTAGCAATCACAATGTATATGTCAAACTTTATCCAATTTAATTTTAATTAAAATTAATTTCGAAGTAACGAAGATGAAAATATAACTTTTTAAAGCTAGTCGATTTTGTTATATTAGCAGTGCTAGGTCTGTCTTATAGGTACAGTTTTTAGTGCCGCCGTACTGTCCAAAGTAAAGTGGGTGTCATGTGATCCGCCGTACCGTCCAACCTTTTTGGAAAGTACCGCCGTACCGTCCTCCGCTGTACCGTCCTCCGCCGGACTGTACACCGCCGCAGTGACTTCCGCCGCAGTGTCCTATACCCGACGTTGTTCGCCACGTTCTGAAAGTAAACTAGTGGGCTGTGACCTATCCTGACAGCGGCCATGTTAGCCATCTGATGTGAGTTCCAGGAAAATTAAAGTTCCTGTATTTATATTTGTGGACGAACATCTCAAGTGTGATTTTCCTTTGTCACTGAGTGTGGCTTAATTGGGAGGAAGGGTTCTGGTCCTATGGGGATGTTGTTGGATTGACCGTCCCTTGCGAATTCGTCCGCTAGTTCTTTACCGTATACTCCTTCCAGACCTTCATGTCCTGGAACACCTAAGTTCTACTCGATGTGAATACCAAGCGCTTTAAATGCAGCCTGGGAATCTGAGAGAAATTAATGATTGATGGGGATCCTAAGTTATCATTAGTCCAGATACTTGCCATGTGTAACGCAAATAGCGGCTACGATTTCCTCAACTAACCTGAAGGAGGATTGTCTGTCCTGTATTGTTACCATGTAAATTGTAACGTCGAGCTAAAAAATTGAATCCAAAGTTTGAGTAATGCATTCGTTAAAAGTTGTGTGTCCTATTTGCATCCCGAAGCATTGCATTGTTGTTTATTCCTGGTCCGGTTAGCTTTGCGTCTCAGAACTAAAGAGGTCCGCTACGCTTTAGTGAGCTATGCTGTCCACCAGGGTACTGTAGATCTAAGGGTTCCACGTTTAATGGGACAGACTGTGATAAAGCATCTCTGCAGGATGTCCGAGATGAACTGTTTTCGAGCGTTGAGATCTTCCGCTGTATAAAATGATTAGAACCAGTAAGGGTGTCAGTCAAACTCTGCTGTTACTAGATGATTATGGCCTCAAGATGAGAAGACCTGAAGAGTGGTTACTGGAGGAATAAGTGCCAGGAATTCTCGCTATTAGTGTGTCCTCGTAGTCGGAGTGAGAGAGTTGAAATCCCTAACTCTGTCTGATCACGAGCCTGTGTCTGGCGTGTGTTAGCCCTTATGCATTAGCTGTCTTGACTGAAAAGACCTGAAAAGTGGTTACTGGAGAGAGAAGTGCCAAGACTACTCATTATCACTGTGTCCTTGTAATCAGAATGAGCAAATTGGAATGCCTAGATCTGTTGTGGGTGACTTCGATGGGACTTGAAAGCTGAAAGAGAATTTCCTGGTGATTTAATAGCTCTTCGAGCTAGGTATTTGTGTCTAACGTGTCGTCATTTGTTCGTGTACTATTTTGTAACCGATATCTGAAAGAGAAATATCCTGGTGCTTGGTAGCTGTTAGTGTTGACTTCCTGGTTCCTATAGGAACTGTGAGTTGGCAAGTCCCACTCCCAACCTTTGTACTCAACATGAAGAGAGCACACCACCCGTTAGTGCCAACCAGGCCACACCACGTGGAGATTCGGAGAGGATTTCGTGGCCCCAGTTAAATAATCATGCCAAAAGACACGATCGAGGTACTGAAAGTCAGATTTCCGGAAAAAAAGCATTTAAAATGGGCAACCACCAAATTGTGATATTTCTGTTCCATTTCCAAACATAAGCAACGTACCTGGGTTCCTTAAAACCGGAATTTTATTATTTTGACGCGGAATTTTGCCCACACAGCGTTCTGGAGGGTAGATTTGCAGTGAAAGCTTACGGAGAAAGCTTTGAAAATGGTTATTCGCCAAGCTGTCCCAATTTTTTCCTATTTTAAATTATGAGCTTTCCTGGACCGAAATTTTACTATTTTGACAGAATACAGTGACCAATTAATTAACTTTTTAAGGTATTAGACACGATTGAGGTATTGGGAGAACAGCAAGTATCATATTTGAAAATGTGTTGTGAAATTTCGGTTGCTAATTTTGGTGGCTCAACTGAATGAAACGATAAAATATTCAAGCGAATAAAATCTATTACATAGTAAAAATCGACATTTCTCAGCAATTGGAGGCTGGACAATCGTAGAACTCAATAGCATTCCCAGCGGGGCAAAAATTGAAATCAACATTTCCATGACACGCACAAATTCTATATCGCTTGGTCTTTGACGCAAAACAGCTCTCCGGGCAACCTCTTGACTGCCACTCGCCCCATTCGACTAAAAAATTATACGATTTAGAATCGATCTAGCTTATAGTTATTAAAATCTGCTAGATATCACGATCACATTCTCTATCTAGGGTATTCAAGGAAAACTGTTTGAGGAAGTTAATAGATAAAATAAAATGGTAGACTCACAGCTATCTCCTTCGCATTGGAACTCCTCACTATATCCCTCCTCTCCAGTATCACATTGTTCCAGATCAGTAAAAGATCCATCACCATCTTGGCATACACAGGACCTGACGGAGTGATGTGTAAATCTACCTTACCGATCCTGATTTAACAGTTTCCTCTCAAGGACGATTTATAGGGTCAACCACATAAAAATCAACAACTTGGTGATTTCGGTTGGAATTAGATTTTTGAGCCTGTAAGTAAAAAAAAAAGATATGAAAACAAAAATCCTGACCTGGTTTTGGTTTTAGAGTAAGGTTTGCATTTTTTCTCGTCGCAGATGTCATCGCTCCATTCACTTAGTACGTAATCAGCGAAACCACAAGAGGAAACTCCAGACAGATCCACATCACCACAACGTCTGTTATCTTTGTTTCCCTCACATTCACAATCTCGTGTCCTGGGTAAAAGCACAGGTTTGTTGTTATTGGGATCAGAGGAGAATATGAGTGGGTTTTATTGAGATATGATCAGGCAAACAATGAGAGCAACAATAAACTGAATTTTGATGGAGCTATGTCATCGAAGGGTCTATAATATATAAATATATTGAACCTGTATGAGAAAGTTTCCTCATTACAGGAGGGTTCACCACATGGAATCTCACTCCACTCTGTGGGTAGCCAAACAATGTTTTTGGGAGCTGGACATGGTTCAGACTTCTTGGAGGGTCCTGGGCACCTAAAAAAGAGACGTTAGCCAACGTTTGATGTTAAATTATGAGTTACGGTAAGTATATTAATATTATGCCCAAAATGTAAATACGATTTTATTAATACTGAACTTTTAGCACGTGTCTTCTTTATATTTTATTATTAACGATCCAATTATAAAATGGACGGGTCCCGACCTGGTAAGATCAACCTTGTTTCCACAAGTACATGTTCTACTCATACTCTGGTCTAGTTCTGGGTAACAGACACTGCACTCTGAAACCGGCACCCACTCCGACCACTCAACTGTAAAAATATGATGACTCTATTGCTTTTAAACTGCAAAGTGAATGTTTATTAACTGTTTTATTTACCTTGAAAAGCTTGTAATGTTCATTGTTCGGACAATTCTCAACTGAATAATGTATTCTGATAATCAGTTAAACTATCTAATTTGTAATTTGTAGAACGTTAAAGATTATACTCACATGGTTTATTTGCCGCGCAGACGACTTCAGTAGCTTGAACAGCATCACACAGACTCAAGTCATCGTCTATTACCAGGATATTTTCGTGTTCACAGACACACCTGATAAACAATTGTTACGTCAGTTTTAAAGCTCATTGCTCAGCGAGGGTTCGTTTCAGGCAGCCTTCATCTAACTAAATTACGAAAGAAGGAAAAAAACTAAAACCGGCAATAAAATTGAATAGGTCGAAGTCCTGTATTCCGACCTGTATTCCTGGAAAGCAGTAAAAGCGCTACATGATACTTCATCTGAATCTTCACAAGGATTTCCTATCTCTTCTGCTCGCCCTGAGACAGAAAACAATCTTACACAACCACACATATTTTCTAAACGGATAACTACATGGGATACCAAAAACTAACCGGTGACTGTAATTGTGATCTGAACTTTTGCTCACATTCAAGGTTAGCAGAACAGGTGTAAGATTGCTCGAACTCCCCCTCGCAGAGTGAGTCGTCATTTATCTTTTGTCCGTAGTATGAGCAGGTACATTTCCTAAAAGAGTGAACAAGAACTGTGAGCAGAAAATCAAAATGTTAAATGTTTGAAACATTAATGTTTGAAACATTAATGTTTGAAACATTATTGTTTGAAACGATATCCAGTTTACTAACTCAATAAAAACGTCTGATCATGTGGCGATCACTCTACCAATCAGAAGATAAACTCGCCTATCCTTAGTTTTGGTTTCAGGGTAACATCTATCATTCAAAATGCAGATCTCCGGAGTCCAGGCTCCCCACTCGAAGTCATTTGTCGCTGGACAGTCCCTGCTTCTTTTTAACTGATCATCAGGGCACTTGCTCCTGTCGTTCATACCATCACAGTAGCAGCCTCTGGTGTCGACAGTTTCTGAGGAGTAGCAGGATTCTGTCTCGCATTCTCCATTCTGCCAATCACCCACGACCCCTATAGGAGTATAGGAGGGAGAGCCGTTATTACACAGTTATTTTCATCTACAAGTTCAATGCTTTTGGTTTACATTTTGTGTTTTTTGTACTTTGAAATTATTTTTCTGGAACCAAATTCAACTGGGTTCTTCCAATGTTATTCAAAAATAAAACAAAACACCTACATGGTTTAGTTGCTTTGCAATAATGAAGCATAGATAATTGATCGTTTCCACACAAACCACCAGTGGAATCATCATGTTTACCATTACTATCCTCACAGTAACAAGCTCTGCAAGGATTTACACAAATAATCATATGTTCAAGTCCCCTTTACTTCAATGCTTTGAACCCCAGGGACCAGAGGTTATATTTTTGACTTGGCGCATCTGCACGCACAGATCTAAGCTCATATTAACAATAATCGACAATTTTTAGCAACAGGAAGATCAAAACATTACCTTTTTAGTTCTACTGGGTATGGATAACACTGGTCATCTTTCAGACAAACTTCCTCCTCTTCATCAAATTCTCCCACCTGAACTGAGAATAGGAATTTAAGTTTAGTTTAAGTACAGGATGTCATGTAATCTGAGAATAGAATTAGAATTGAACTTTAGTTTAAGTACAGGATGTCATGTAATCTGAGGATCATCGAGATGAGAGGTTTATTCGTGGTAATATTACTAATATTACCAAGGTTAAATAATTAATAACACTGTACTAACAGTCTGCAGTAGCAGGACAAGTGAAGGTAAGTATCTCGTCTGGAGCAGTGCAATTGGATTTGTCAGCTAACACATCGTCACAATAACAGGACCAGGTTCGCTCCTGGGTGTAATCCTTACAGCTCCTTCTCTTGTCACACTCTGCCACATCCCACCTTGTCAGACATTCTTCTTCTGCAGAGGATTTGACTTTGAGAGATATTGATTATTTGTAGTACTGTAGCTCTTACTGTAGCAGCTTATGATAAATTTCATATCGTTAAAATTGACAGAGGTGCTCAAGCGACTGAAAATTAAATTAAAACAGTTAATAAAGTTTTACCGATATCATCTAATAGGTCAACTCCAACGCTTTGCTTCCTACAGTACGTTCCCTTCTCCGAAAATAAGCCTGCTGTCAGTGTAAGTCGCGTTATTCCCAGTCTTACTTTAGCTTCTTTAGATATTTCCAGTATAATCGAATCCTCAGAAACAGTAACCTCGATTCTATTTGCATTCACTCCAGGCCTTAGAATAGCTGATTGTGACTTTCATAACACAAGTGACACGTAGATTATTCTTCTGGAACTATAATGAGCTACCTCGGGACCCCAGGCTAATAATTTTGTATATACATTTGAAGCTGCGGCGGAAAGACAGGCTGATCAGCGCCGCCCAATAAATAATGAGTGGATAAAGCCACCGAATTGTAAGTCATTACCTCAAAGTAGTTGCCTTTATCGTGAGGATTTACAAGAAACTGATTGGACTAACCTGTACGTTTGACCATTATTATCTACCCAGACTGGGTCCTTCATGATTCCTCCTTCTACTCCTCCTTTTACGCGAATAAATTCTTCGCCCGCGCCAATCTCGCCGTCAAAAAAACCATCAACCCCTTCAGCAATCATTTCTGAAGAAGTATCAAGATTAAGTGATTTCTGAAATCACTCAACATATCCATAAGTAGATCAGTAATTTATCCTATCAGCGATAATTTGAACAAAAGTAAAAGCAAAACTCTTGGGAGGCTAAAAGTAAATCTGTATATTGAGCATTTCTCCTCGATTTCCAACCGATCACGGAAAATTATAAAGTTCATTAAAAACTAAATGGTCAAATTTGCTAAAAACTAACGCATAACGTTGAGCTCCAGGTTAGGTTCCACGCCTTCTTTACCCTCTGTTCCGGTGTAGGTGATGAAGAATTCACTACCCACCTCCTCAGTCATGTTGGGGGAGATTGTAAGCGTGACAACGATCTCATTAAAGTCATTTCGTGATAACCTCATCAGGAACCCTTCTTTATATGTAGCTGGGGAGTGTAAATTTTATTTAAAAGCAAGCTTTATAAATTAATAGCCGCTGCTTAATTAATGTTACTCTTATAACTCTTATAAAAGATCACTTATAATCGCTGATTAGTACTCAAAATTTGTTCTTAGCAACCTACTTTCAGTGGTAATCATGGTGCCTTTAGTCAGAGATTCGATGATTCCGTCCGAGACAGAACTGATTTCTTTGGTTCCCAATACGGTAAATTCCAGAACAGCTTCATCACCAGGGTAAGCACAGTATTCGTCTTTAGTCACATCTGAGAGGAAAAGGCAACCTCAAAGCTCCCTTAAATTTGATAACAGGGAAATATCAGGCCAACATAAAAAAATACGAATAATATAACAATGTGAGTATTGAAGCGATTAAGATAAATGTCCAGTTCCCACTAACCCCATACAATGAGTGTGCCTGTAGCGTCACCACTGGTGGAGTGAGGGATTCCACACTTGTCAACCGAGGAGTAATCCAGGACACATTGATAATTCTGTGAACCGATCACTTGGTTCTCTGTGGATAGTGTTATGTTTATTAATCATGAAGTACAGAATTGGAGTTCAACTGTAGGGTCGGCTAGTATTGACCCTACTGTCGGAACTCGTTACAGTCATAGCAATATCTTTCTATGAGCTGACGGAAATTTTCCCATCTTACAGAGATTATTTTTTATAATCAAACGATAAATTGCTTGTTCTTACAATTTATAGTAAATAATGTTCACAAAGCTGATTACCTGAAGGAATGAAAAGCACTGACACCCATTGACCGGTCTCAAATCTCAACTCTTCGTTAAAGTTTTCCTGAAATTATTTTAAATAAATAAAACGTGAAAGATACATTATGGGGTTTACAGCAGTCCTATTGATAGTGATACAGATTTTCTTATTAATCTGTCACGTCGGGGACAGCAAGGTCGACTCTATCCCAGTCTCCCCCTGCCACCGTTTCTTATGATAAATCTTAGATGTACCAACCAGGGCATCTATCGGCATCTTCGTTCCAGACTCATTCCAGTAGTACCAAGAGAAAAAGTACCCCTGATCGTTCCTATCAGTCCCAACTCCAGTACATGTCAACTGAGCTTCTGATCCTACTCTCTGGTATTTGCTGGTCACTTCAATATCTGTAAAACAGCGTCGAGTTTATTGGGACAATATTCGATTATGTCATTAAGTGACAAATTCAAACGAAGAGGGTTAATGTTTCTATTTGTTATTTAATGCGATCTTTACAATCTGTCGTGTTATTGTAATATAGATAGCCATACAGAAAAATCACAGAATTCCCAGAAGCACGCTACAAAAGTATCTCCCACAATACGCATTTAAACATAATCCTAAAGTATAAGTACGTAGAATAACTCACCGAATTTATTGATCTGAGCAGGTTCCTCGGTATTGACGTAGTCTCCCTGACCCTCTAGTGCCCCTGATCCTCTAACTTGACATGTTACCACGGCTGAATTTCCGGCTACTACCCACGAGTTCACTGGGGTGTTCCACGTCAGTATAATATGGAGACATATTTAGGAGCTTAAATGATTGAAATAGTCATAGTTCATTAAGTTTTTGCTGCATACATCAGGAATAGACGAGGACCTTTGGTGACGTTCGAAAATAGTCAGGAAAGTGAGTGTTAATGATTAGAAACAAAACAAAGAAAGAAACGTGAACATTTCTGACCTGTTAAGACAGATAGTAGTTTATCTTCCTGTATTTTGTAAGTTACACTCACTTCATACCCAGCAGTTCCTACCAAGTCAACACCGTCCGTATCAACCCAGCTAATCTGAACGATAATTCATTTATCAGTCGCCATGTATTTTGAAAGATTATCATTAAAAGAAAGCCTATCTATACCATGTTATAATGACACATATAACTAGTCTCTGAGTGAATAAGTTTCTTAGCTCACAACTAAGTCGTCTATGACACGCCTGTCTGCTGTAACCACGCAAGGAACCTCATCCACATCATGCGCTCCACACACAGTTGTTCCAGTTGTTTCAGCCTCTGGAAAGGGGGTTATGAGAACAGGGACTAAAGATTGTTTAGTAAACAATAAACTAAAAGTTAGAAAATAAATAAAAGTCTACACTCTAAAGGTAACCAGACGAATAAAAAAGCTGCTAATTAACTAACTAGGTTTACAGCACCAAAGCCACATATCCTCAACATCACAATAACTCGGGTAACTGGCTCTCCAATTGAACTCGTGGCATTCCTCATTGCAAGTCTCTACTACAATCCAATCATCTACTCTACAACCATTTCCTCCTCTTCCTCCAATAGTGTTAGTTACTGGGGAAATATAGGTTAGTTACTATTTACTAGGAGATTAGGGTCACATATATCGTGGTTACTGAGAATATAAGAGCTCAAAACTATTACCAAGGAAACAAGTGTCAGTTAGCTCGAAAAAACAAGTGGTATTTGTTGAGAAAACATATGGCCATATTGAATGAAGGAAATATAATTTTAGTTACTTGAAAGATCAGTAAATGTGTCTTACGGTTGTTACGACAGAGTTGTTGGAGATTGAGATCAAGACCAGTTTGATAGGTAGCCAGGAAGGGATACTGATCTTTACAGTCTGAAATGCAGAACTTTTCACCGCTATTTAAATCTTCTGGCCCACTATCAGAAGGGAAGAGTTCACTGTCTCCATCGTCTTGATCATCTTGATCATCTTGATCGTCTTGATCGTCTTGATCGTCTTGATCGTCTTGATCGTTTTGATCGTCTTGATCGTCTTGATCGTCTTGATCGTCTTGATCGTCTTGATAGGCTTGATCGTCTTGACCTACAGCATTAGAGGATTTGTATCAGACAAATCAAATCGAGTACCAAATTTGATATTTGCTAATCAGACCTATTGCAATAACATCATCACATTTACGTACCTCCACCTACCCCTTCCCTCCCTAGTCCCCTCAGTTGAGTCAGTATGTACAATACGTAATAAGGAAGGTTGAAAAATGTACATTTTTATAAACAATCTAACCACAGTCATCGCATGTTAAGTTCGCACTATAGTAATGATCATCCGGAGAACTTCCACAAATTTGGTAGGCTGGCTGAACACACGCAGTTCCATTGCTGAGAAACCAAATTTATATTACGATCAATACAAACGTTTTACAAAACACTTGATCGTCAATAAATTGTTTCTATAATTTTTAAGAGCGAATAAAACAAGCCGAGTAAACAGCGAAATAAGGACAGCAGTGGTCATGATTAATTTTAGAATCATGATTTTTCAAATAAACAAGAATGTTTCCACAGAACTGTAAAACTCACTTCACACATGCTCCCGTGGTTACCCAGGATTCACAATCAACATTCTGCTGGGAGAAACCCAGAGAGACGAGCACACATATCCCTAAACCGAGTGAAAACTTCATAGTGTGACCCAGAATAGAAAAATGGAAATGAGAAGAATGAAAGGTGGTTGTTTTTGTTTTGACGAGATGATAGGATTGTTTAGACTTGTAAATAGATGTTTAACAGGCATGTAGTCCTGGTCCTTGTTTAAATTTCTGTACGTGTCTCTGAGTCCAAAATGTTTGACACTTATAATAGGATCATTTAAACGTGAGCGTTTGTATTATGAAATTGTAATTAAGAATAAGAAGCAATAACTTATACTTCCTTTACGATTATTATTATTTAGTGTTCGGTGGTAATTCAGTGTTGTGACTGGTTGCGAAAGAGGCAGAAGTGAAAAGAATCGTAATATTGGCAGTTGAAGTGGTGGTAAAATTACTGGTCATGGTGTGTTTCTGAAATACACTCCTGGGGGATCGGATCGGTGAGAGCTATTAAAATATGTAAACCCAAACTTAAAGATTTAAAGATTTAACAAGAAATGTGGCCGCTTTTCTTTTGTGGATGCCCGCTTAATTTCCCGATCCGTGATGGCATATTTTATCATATTCCACACAACCTGGGGACCCCAGTCTTTAACTTTGGCTTATATTACAAAATATTCAACGTCGTATTAATTTTTTGAAGTTGTGTTAATTAAATTTAAACTATTGTCAGCGTACTGAGTCTATAATTCAGAAAAAATCAGAAATTTTCGTGAAAGAATCATAAAGTGAAACTTAATGACAATATATATATATAGGCCCCCTGCTCCACAACATGTGCTCCACAGGCATGGATTAGTAGGTTGGTCACCTTGAGGCAGTCTGCAATCAACGGTGTTACAGCAATACCTTAACTTTTGCATGTAAGTTATATACTTGTTACTGTTAACCAAGGCTGCACAGCACTTATTGCCAGATTACCTGGGGACCAATAACTGCAGTGGAATGACAGGCTGAGCGCCGTCCAGTAAATTGCCAGACAACTCACCAGACAAAGCCACTATGCGAGCTTATATTGATACACGTTGTAGTGCAAGAGCTGACACGTGCTCAATAGTCAATTAAATGGTTGAGTTTGACCTTCCAATCAGCTTTTCATACGATTACGATCGGTCGAAAGGATAATTAGAAAAACGAAACATAATCAATTATATATTTGATTAAAATATAAAATATAGAGCTTTTTTCTCCAGCTGTAGGTAAACCTACACGTCTAAGAGCATGGGCTATACAACTTGAGTTTCTTTCGATCATTCACTCAATTATCAACTTTTCAATCGGCCGATACGATACAGATTTTTAAAGATTCTTAATTGAAGTTTAATTCGGTCAATGTGAATCGACAAAATAAAATCTGGCTACATTATAAAACTCTTTGATTGGAATGGAACAATATATATATATATATATATATCTATTTTTGTCATGTTTTTAATTTACTTCATAGAACAGTTATTTTAATAAACTTGCTTTCAGAATGAGACATGTAAAGATTACACAATCGATAGCTTAATGTGAATTTCGTGTTTTACTGTTTCACTGAATGTCTCAAATATATATATATAATAAATTTACCTAAATTCTAACACATTGTTTACCTGGGGACCCCAGGCTTTAATAGTATAATGATTTTTCTTTTTTTTTTTTTTTCAGGGAGCAGGCTTGCCACATAGGTCCAGGAGTACCGAACGTTTAGGCAGGGTGCTAAGTTATGGAACACACTCAACTAGTATAGTAGTATAGGTAGTCTGAGAGTCCGAAAATATCCAAAAGGAGATGTCATCAGAGTGTGATCCACTGCCTGACTAACCTGTGGATAGAGTTTATTAGACTCTATAATGATGACAGGTGGTATCTTCTATATGTTGCTGAGATCCTGTGTCCATGGTACCTATTTTTGAAGTAGTTGGAAGAAGGATAATCGATAATATTGAAACCACTTTCTGCAAATTAAACTGATTTAAAATAAAAATAAAATTTAAAACCCAATAATAAATATAAGGATAAATACCTTGACTGAAATAGTGAATGTCTCTGAAGAAGGAGAGACGATAAAGCATGATACGACACGGTATGTTAAAATAAAGCCTGTCTCTGAAGAAGGAGAGACGATAAAGCATGATACGACACGGTATGTTGAAAGAAAGCCTGTGTCTGATGAAGGAGACACGATAAAGCATGATACGACACGGTATGTTGAAATAAAGCCTGTCTCTGAAGAAGGAGGGGACGATAAAGCATGATACGACACGGTATGTTGAAATAAAGCCTGTCTCTGAAGAAGGAGAGACGATAAAGCATGATACGACACGGTATGTTGAAATAGAGCCTGTCTCTGAAGAAGGAGAGACGATAAAGCATGATATGACAAGGTATGTTGTAATAAAGCCTGTCTCTGAAGAAGGAGAGACGATAAAGCATGATACGACACGGTATGTTGAAATAAAGCCTGTCTCTGAAGAAGGAGAGACGATAAAGCATGATACGACACGGTATGTTGAAATAAAGCCTGTCTCTGAAGAAGGAGAGACGATAAAGCATGATACGACACGGTATGTTGAAAGAAAACCTGTCTCTGAAGAAGGAGTGACGATAAAGCATGATACGACACGGTATGTTGAAATAAAGCCTGTCTCTGAAGAAGGAGAGACGATAAAGCATGATACGACACAGTATGTTGAAAGAAAGCCTGTGTCTGATGAAGGAGACACGATAAAAACGACAAACGATACGTTATGCTGGAGATATGGATGTCTCTGAAGATTAAGCAAATGGCAAGAAAAATACTATAAAAGACCCATCGCAGGATCTGGTGCTGGCCAGCCTATGAACGCACAAAATATCTGCACTGTGCAGAAAAACTAGAAATAACCGAGGAACTAAGGCAATGTAGCGCCGAAACAAGTGAAACATTCCCAGATGGGGAGAAGGAACCATCAACTCAGTGTGCGAGACCAAGTGATAAACAAATACTTAAATAACAGTAACACAAAATAAATGTGCAGTTCTAAAAAAAACTGTGATGCTAGCTGTAAGCGTAAAAAGTATGGGGAGAAGTAATGAAAATGGGAGTGATAAAGTCACATCCAAAGAGTGAGTGAAGAAGGTGTTAACAAACCTTGACCAGAAGTGTCTAAACTCTAATGAAGTAAGTCAGACAAGCTGTCAGCAGTAACCTACGTGATAGATTTATTTTAACCTCTCATAGTGCTATGGAGTGTAGTGTTGTCCTGAAGATTGTAAGATTTAACAGAATATGGATCAAATTTTAATCGGAAAACATATTGGTGATTACAGCTTGAAAAAGTTCCTTGGAATCTTGTTACACGCCAGTGCAGTTGCAGTACAAAATACAACCAAAAACCTTAAATTGCACATACAGCAAAGCTACAGTGACTCTTGCTGACCTTAATATTACTGCTTATTTTACTTTATCTACGATAGAACACCGTAATGTTCCATGGAACTATTATCAAAAACAGGTGCCATAACTAATTGACTATAAGAATGTTTCAACAGAATTTCGAAACGTACAGTTCCATCAAATAAGTAAAACACAGGTGCGAAATCTCATTAGTAATTTCAGCTTTAACAGCTACCTGGAAAACAAGATATAATTGCATACCACTTGCAGCACCGAAATAATTACCTACGAATTTCAATCCCCAACCCCACGTTATTAAAAATAGCTTTTCCAGTTTTCCATTTTATTATGCGTGTCCTCTTTGTTATCCTGTTACTGTCGACTTTTCTATGTCGGAATTGCGTAATCAAAGGCAAGAAGATGGACGCAGTTTTTGCGGTGAAAATAGTACGTTCATATCTGTGTACTGGAAACAGAGAATGGTGGAAGAATATTCCAGATGATATGCTTAGATACATGATGCATGTATCGGTTACTATGTTATGTAATGGTAACATTAAAGATACAGAGTTCTTGAGCAACCTACTCGAAGAAGCAGAGAAAACAGTTCAACTGAAATCACTGAAGAAAAGAACGGACGTTTCTGATTGTCTCTGGAATGGAATAAAGAAGTGGCATTTTGTCCCTTTCTTTTGCCCTTTATCATCAGAGACGTTTATGCAAAATTACGACAGATCTGTCAATGATCTCGTCAATGATTTCCTCTGCAGCGGCCACTTCAGAGGTTCATGGAACTGGATCGGATGCAAAATGGGAAGATTAATACTGGAGAAAATGGATGTGATACGAGAAGTAGTACATCCCTATCTGTGTGAGAGTAGCCGCCAAAGAAGGCAATACGACGTGGTGTCACTGATGGCAGTTTTTAAACAGACAGCATGTTTGGAATCGTCTGCTTTGGATTTTGATTTTGTTGCGATTAAAGAAGGCGGCCACCTTCACTTTATGAAGTTCGGATTTTGGTGTTGCATAATGAAATTTGTGGAAATGTAGCCGTACAAAATACATTATGATTAATGATACGGTCACCTACTTATATGGAAATGTAGTGACAAAAGTTTCTTCTGAAAATTTCTGAACTTTGTGAAAGTAAAATATTTATCTAATTACGAACGTGTTTTATTTTGTGGATGAAAATTAAAAACTAGTGGTACTGGTATAAGAATATTAGAAAAAAAGTGGATTTATTTCCGAGATAAACTGTCGCGCTCATGATTAGGCTCACTTTCTTCACTTGTACAAAACACTAACACACGCTTTCCCAGTGCAATATACCTAAATCAGGTTTCCCGCGATTTTGATTGTTGAATTGGTTCATGTAAATCAGCATGCACAATCTTTCAAGTAAACGGGAATAGAGAAGGAGAGTGGAACCCAACATGCAATCTAACACACGCACTCACAGGTCGCCCCCTCACGGCACACTAGACCGATTTTTAGAGACAGGTGTTAGATATTCAGACAGCGTGAGCTCGCTCAGACTCTCGCGCGTCACGTCTTCTGATGACGTCACGTGAGTGGATCGTGACGTCACGCCATTATCATACGTCGCGTGACGAATCACGCCGATACTCTCAGAGGCCGTTGTGAATTTTAGCAATGAGTCAGAACGCAGAGTTGTAACAATATCAGACAGTGTTCCTACATTGCTTAGTGATTTTGAGCGAGGCATTTCTGGTATGAAGGTCTGAGATGAGAGACAGCTGAACAAATGATCGTCACTCTTTGAAAGTCTTGTTTTGTCCGATTTACGGAGTTTTTTAGGTGTGGAAGTGAGCGAGTTTGATGGACTGTCTGATTTGGAGAAGAGATTTCGCATTCGACCGAAATAGTAGTTGAACCTGTATATGTAAATAGTATAATGATACTTCAATTGAATAATACTTCAATAAACATTTTAACCTTATTCTCACAGAATCACACTTCACTGAATTGATTTCTTTATTTAGTTAGGAGCTGAATTTCTATCGCAATAATTAGTACATAAAAAGGGTGGTTTTTAACCTTATTTGAAGGATTCATTCTAATTCCATCCAAAATTATGGGAAGATTCTAGAGGTAGAATTAGAGTTGACCTAGTAATCACTATCAAACGTTTACTTCCGTTCTTGATGAATAAAGGTTTTTGACTTTGTGCGGTACGTAGAAACCTTTTCTAAGCATCAAAGTGTTCGCAATCATCATATCTATAAAGTGCGTTTTTTAAAGCGTAAAACTTGTTTTTAGTTCTACTCAGTGAACCATGAAAATATTATCATGCGTTCCAGGATATTAGATCTTACAAGGCGACCTTATAACCAGGATTTACTTGATAGAAGAATCTTTTGTTATGTATTATGATACTAAAAAATGTATTTTTATAGGTATTTATGTTCGACTAACTGTAAATAAAAAGTTTCTTTGTCAAGATAAAACACTTTTTAAATGGCCCGCTCGGTTGTTTCTAAAAGTTTCAAAATCTTGGAATGGCCACATTCGAGTTTTGTGAAGCATCAAGCAACGTCAACACTCAACAGGCGCCCCTTATAGCTTCTTTTTAAAGTAAATAGTCACTCAAATGGGGAACCTCTCAAATTTGACCACACCCCTGCTTAGCTTCTTAATGTCCACTCATTGTTTTGCAACAATGTGAGTTCTGACTGATGTTTTGATGAGTGTGTTGAGAGGTTATAATGCAATACAACTACAAGAAGGAAAGCTTCAATAAATTTCCACTGAGACGAGTATCAGTACGATGCTACCCCATGAATAACCAACCGTTCATAAGATACTATAATCTTACTATATATAAAGCGAGACGATATATATGTTTATCCGTGCCATTTTACTGACACCACGGCATCAACAGCTTTAACGCTACTTTCCGCAAAAAACGTAAAAGATATACAATTACAACTTTTTTGACTGGGCCAGATGCTTTATAATGGCCTTCAAATCAGCATGAAAAAATAAAAAATTGGCCAAGAAATAGAAGATTTAGAGCCCTAAATTTGAACCCCCAAGTGGTGTCAAAAACGCGAATTAAATAGATAATAATTATTTTAGTCTCTTGAGTGTTGACACCATTTTAGGGTTATACGGGTTCCTGCTAGTATATAATAGCTTGTAAACTCCTTTACAAACAATTGTCAACGGGATTGACAATCGATTATGCCATTACAAGCAGCTGTGTCGATGGTCTGAGCTCAAGCTTGCTGAGATGCCTGACGCGGACGAAAGAATACCATTTTTTACATCATATTTGCATTTCAAGAAGTTACAAAGGAATGATATTTAAATATTGGTAGTTAATATTGGTGTCCAAAGAAATCTACAAATGTATAATGTTAATCCTAACTTTCTCATTGGCCCGCGAAAACGACGATTAATACATTGTGATAGGTCAGGACTTGGTCACGTGGTAATGTTTTGTCACGTACTTAACAAGGACGATAATTACCATTTTTGTATTTTTAGTATTAGCATTGTAAGTTTTTGCATTTCAAGAAGTTATAAAGAAATAATATTTAGATATTGGTGGTTAATATTGGTGTCCAAAGAAATCTATTATGTTAGTGAGTCCTACTTTCTCATTGGCTTGATAACAACAGTCAATATTTTATGATAGGTCACAACTTGGTCAGGTGGTAATTTTTAGTCACGTGGTATATCCTGGTAATACAGTGCAGGATCAACCATTTCTAACCAGCTCTGCTCAGTTCTCATTTCTCAGTTTCATTTTCTTTGATAATGTGAGTAAGCCGAGGGATAATGTTTAAAATCCTCCTCATCCTCACAGTCTCAGCGGTGGATACAGTAGAATCAGGCAAGCGTATTAATTATAAGTTTTAAGCAAGGTTATCAAGTATTTTGTATCTCGTAAGCAAATTGATTCAGTAATCAAGTTATTGATTTATTATTTGTTTGATTTTGTATTTCCTACTCTATAGAAAGATTGTTTTTGTTTTCAATTTCAAAAAAAATTCTATAATACTTTGAACTGAACAGTTGGTGGCAAGAGATTATTTTTAATCTCAGGGAATAGTGATCGTGTAACCAATAACCTCTCCTATTCCAATGACCATAGTGCGTGACGAAGAATCACATCCTTTTTGAGGTGCTACTATTAAGCATTGTAATCTGTCCTGGGTGACTCCAGATGACGTGCAACTAAACACTATGGATCTAGACAGGCAAAGGTCGATAAAAAACGGGTGCGAGATGCTGGCAACTTCTCCTCTCTAAACATTTGCTGCAGAAACATCACATAGTAACAACAAGAAACGGTGTGTGGCTCCCTCTGTAAGGACGGATGATACCAGTATGAAGGTGGCGGGGCAAAGCCTAAGGGACCCCCGTGGCCAGATGAGTGTTGGGAGAACACGTCATTGTAGCAGATTTATTTCTCCACAGATCACCCATGTGGACTCCGACTCTAATAAGAAACAGCCAGCGAATTATTCTAAAACAGGTCTTAAATTTGGGACATGGAATGTATTATCTCTGACAAGTAGTTCAAGTCAGTTGTTCCAGCTATCATAGAATATCTCTGAGTATAAGTTGGACTTGCTGGGTATAACTGAGACCCATATACCTGGTACAGGATCAGAGCTACTGGATAATGGCTCCTTACTTATTTATTCAGGGAGGACGGACGGTATAAGAAGGCGAGGTGTCGGTCTTACCCTTTCAAAGAGGACTAAAAATTCATTATATTTTCCTATCTACCAATATCTGACCGTTTGTTGAGTGCAAGGCTGCATAGTCAACACCTGAACATCTCTGTTGTTGTGGCATATGCGCCAACTGAGGGGGCTTCAGATAATGATAAGGATGAATTCTACTAGCAGTTGTCAAGTGCATTCGATGAGCTACCCCGACATGATTTAAAATTACTGCTTGGTGATCTTAATGCTGAGATCACATCGGACTGCAGTTCTATGTCAGGTGTCATTGGTGGACACTCGCTTCACAGCTCATCAAATGACAATGGTACCCGATTGTTGGACTTTTGCATTGCCCACCAACTTACCATCGGTGGCACTATGTTTCAGCAAAAGGATATACATAAAGGTACGTGGAGATCATCTAATGGTCGTACTGTAAACCAAATAGACCACATCTGTATCAGTAAGAAGTTTGGAGGCTCTTTGCTAAATACAAAAGTTTGTAGGGGGGCTGACATTGGGTCTGATCACTATTTGGTAAGAGCACGACTGAGAATGAAGCTTATGTCAGTGAAAAAGAAGCAGGAACGTAAGCTCGAGATTCCTGCTATTGAGCATCTGCGTGATCATTCACTTGTTTCCGAATACAATATTGTTCTGAGAAACAAATTTGACTGTTTGGAACCTGAGGTTGACCTGGAATCAATGTGGGACAACTTCAAGACAACTGTCCAACAAGTTTCCATGGAAACCCTTGGGCAAAGACCTCGAAAAAAGAAGGACGGGCACCAATCTCAGAAGACAAAAGAATTATTGAAGAACCGTAAGGAATTTAAGCGTAAAGACCCTAATTCGAACGCTAACAGATCAGAGTATTCTAGATTGAATAAGCTCTTTAAAGAAAGTAGCAAGGTGGACGATAACAACTGGGCACATAGAATGGCCAATGACTTGGAAGAAGCTGCGAGAAAAGATCAGCAACGTGAGTTATGGCAGAAGATCAATGTCATATCTGGAAAGAAGAAGAAGCAGTCAACTGCAGTTAGAGACGTATCTGGCCAGTTGATTGCCGACCCACGTGCCCAGAAAGAAAGGTGGAAAGAGCATTTCTCTTGGCTATTGAACCCTCCCCCGCAAGAGGCCAATATTTCTGACCTAGACAACATCCTTCCGCAACCCAGTTTTGACGACGTTTCCGATTCGGATGAGGCTCCTACAAGAAACGAGATTGTTGATGCTCTCAAAAAACTCAAGAATCACAAAAGTCCAGGAGTGGATGGTATCACCAACGAGCAACTTAAGTATGGACAGGATGGGTTGGTCGATCAACTAGTTATGTTGTTCAAGAAAGTGTGGGAAGATGAGAAGATTCCCGAGGATTGGTCCAAAGGTGATATAATCATCGTTGGAAAGAAAGGTGACACCTCTCATTGCGCTAACAACATAGGCATTACATTAAGATCCACAGCCTCGAAGCTCCTGCAGATGATACTCCTACGGAGACTTAGCAATGGCATGGAAAAATTCCTCCGGGAGAATCAAAGTGGTTTTAGACAGAGTCGCTCATGTATTGACCAGGTTTATTCACTCCGCTGTGACCGATAATTATCTCCGATAATTCGTTAAAAAAACTTATCTGTTTATCTAGATAAAACATATTTTTATCGGTATAAAAATTCACTAGATATTACCGAAAATACTGCCACAATACCGTAAAATTGTAAAGAAATACTATTGTTTTTGCCTTCCCAAGTAATCCAAGAAACAGTCCCAAACGTCTTTTAGTATGATACTTGATAGAAGAGGTAGTTTACTTGAATGTGAGCTTAAGATGTTTATTCACATTTGTATACCTCTGGAACTGTAGAACTGTATGAACTGTCGAAATCCAGAGAAGGTTATTGACATTGTTCTGTCGAGGAAGATGCTGGCATTTTATCTTACAACCATTCTGGAGACGGGCACGAGCATGTTACTGTGAACAAGAGTCAAAAATTCAAAAATACCGGCAGGGCACTCAATTGAATTCTGTAAGTGTTCTGGGCGTGAAACATTGTCTTCAGTAGAAGGAATCTGTTGCTCCAAGTTATCAACAGGATAAGAAATCACTTCAAATGCTTTACTGTTTCGAGGAGAATTGGTATTTGGTGCATTACTGTTCTCAGGAGAAGGAAACCCTTGGTCTACTGTTTTGAAGAGAACAGGTGCACTACTGTTATCAGGAGAAGGAAACCAGTGGTCTACTGTTTTGAAGAGAACTGGTGCACTACTGTTCTTAGGAGAATAAAACCGGTGGTCTACTGTTTTGAAAAGAACTATTGCGTTACTGTTCTTAGGAGAAGAAAACCGGTGGTCTACTGTTTTGAAGATAACTGGTAGTACACTACTGTTCTGAGGAGAAGGAAACCCTTGGTCTACTGTTTTGAAGAGAACTGGTAGTACACTACTGTTATTAGGACTTTAGGAGAAGAAAACAATTGGTCTACTGCTTTGAAGAGAACTGGTGCACTTCTGCTCCCCGGAGAAGAAAACTGATGCTCTAATATTTTCAAAAGAAAGGAAGTGCTACTTTAGCAAGATTACTGGTAAACAGTAATAAAAGTCGACAATTTTGCGAAATTTGGAAAACGTTTTGGTTTTGGCTTTGGCCTTCAGCAGAAAAATTATCGGTTTTATCGGTTTTATCTAGATAAAACCTAAATCTTTATCTGTTTATCTAGATAAAAGATTTCATACCGATAGTGGATAGCCTACTCCGCTGTATTATACACCAATGCATTGAGATTTGAGTATAATATCCCTCTGTATATTAATTTTGTTGATTTTAAAGCAGCTTTTGATTCGATTGACAGGCAGTTCATTTGGAGAAGTATGCAGCACTACGGCTTACCTGACAAGTACATTAGAATTATGAAGGCGTTCTTCACTCACACAGTTAGTGCTGTTAGGGTCAATGGAGAGGTTACAGGTTGGTTTGATGTCAACTCGGGTACTGGGCAAGGTGATATACAGGGACCACCAGTCTTCAACTTTTGTTTGAATTTTTAGGCATACCTTATGGAACTGAACAAGGTCATTAGAAAGGGGGCTTTATTACAGCTGCCAGCCCCCGGGGTAGAAGAGAAACTTCTCTTGGACACTGATTACGCTGATGACATGGCCATGTTAGATAACTCAAAAGAGGGGCTGCAGGAAACCACTGGCCTTCTCTGCAAATACAGTGCCTATGCGGGTCTGAAGATTAATGATGGCAAAACACAGAGCATGGTTGTCAGCAAAAGTGCATCACAGAGGCCGTATTCTAAAAACGACACTATGGACATCAATGTGGAAGGTCTCCCAATACAGCAGGTCAGCAATTTCACTTACTTGGGTGCAATCATCAGTGGGAATGGAACAATCGACAAAGAACTATCAGCTCGAATTCAAAAGGCCTCTGGGGCATTCTATCAGCTTAGCAGTATATGGTACAGTCGCAACATCAAGACTCCAACTAAAATCAGGATTTACAAAGCGGCTGTTCTCACTATACTGCTTTATGGAAGTGAGGTATGGAATACCACACAGACGCAGATGAAAAGATTTGAAGTGTTCCATCATAGATGTCTGAGGAGAATCCTGAAAATCAAATGGTTTTATCATGTATCTAATGCTGATGTACTTAAGCGGGCTAACATCACCCCTGTTGATACTTTCGTACGAGCAGCTAGACTCCGATGGTTTGGACATGTGGTGAGGATGCCAGAAGAAAGAATACTTATCTATCTTCTGCACTGGATCCCAAATGGTAAAAAGTCAAGAGGTAGATCTCGGAAAAACTGGTTGTCATGTGTCCGGGAGGATGCAGCAATCTTCACAGGTGTCGATAACATCACGATAGAAGATGCTGAACAAAAACTACAGACAGGGTTCACTGGAGAGGTCTGATACACCGGAGAAAAGAGTTACTATGTGGTGCAGGCCACTCCAACGACTAGGAGGAGACCTTTTCAAGTACAAGTAAAGAAGTAAGTAAGAACAGTTAACATAATATATCACAGGGAGCCAAGATGTAACATTCTTTCTGATGGACAGTAGTCAAGAATGGTCTACGAGTGGCTTCGGATTGATCTCTATTCAAGATAAAAATAAAAAGGTACATTCAAATCGCTTTGTTAATTTTAGGTTTATATGTAATCCATCATATTGGATTTTACAAAATTTTGTTCCACCAATAAGTTTTTCTATTCATTGTCATCCAAACAAATTGTTTGTCCATATTTAGATTGTCAAATTATCGATTGATTATAAAACCAAATTGTATGAACATAAAGCACAACTATGAAATTTTGGAATTTTTGGAATTTTGCTCCCTTTTGAAGCAAAATAATATCGTATAAAATAATAATTAATACAGAAATGCCACTTCCGAGATGTCTATCTTCGACCTCCACAAAAGTCTTTAATCGCTGAAAGTGAACTGAATTCCCCATTATTTTTGTCACATAACAGTTACTCAATACTGCTCCTCAGATAATGGCCGTTATAGAAATCAGAGAATATTCCGAATGCTTTTTAGACCACATTTGCCAAAAAATGGGTTTTAATAAAGCCATCAGTGGATTCAAGAGGACTGTTGAGTTCAACAGGACGGAGAGTAAACAATACCCTAAAACTGCCATGATATATAATGTTAGGTGTAACTACAAATACACGGTTGATGGACCTCCTTTTACTCACTACGATTTTAAACCTGTAAAACCAAACTGGGGCATGAAAGGTGATGAGTATTATTGGATGCTGTTGTGTGAACCGATAAAAGGTTTGTGGAGAGAGCTGTTATTTTCGTCCTTATCCCAATATGATATCAGAAGGATGACCTAAGGATAGTGACACGTGAAAGTGACACCTTCTTTTTCTTTAAATATTTCACGAATCACGCTATATAAGTATATAAGTATATAGTGATAATTTAAAGACGGTAAGTGCTTTTTCTTTGGTGCTGACACATTTTTAAATACTTAGCTGAACAAGAAACTAAGACATACAAATTTAAGCCACTTATAAGGTTGTGGTGCAGCTAAAGTGATACTAAAATTCAGGATACCTTTTTGAAGTTAGCGTTGCTTTCAGGAGACTGTCCGATAATTAAAAAGAAGAACTACTTAAAGAAGAGTTGTTTCGAGGACCTGGGATACAATGTTCACCAGTGTCACAACTCCAACAGTTACTACGTCGTTAGTTCAAGGGAAGCGAGCCATCGGGATTATAGTATCTTTGACAGTGTTTGCGAGGCAGATCCTTATTTCTATCAGACTTGCGGTGAAGGGGTCGATAAACTAACATCCAACAATTCAACCATGTGCGGCGACTTCATATGTAAGCCATTGCCAATGCCTCAGACCTTATCGGACCCCTACTCAATCCCTCCAGATATGGCTTGCCAGAGACAACCTTGCGATGGTCGGCCGTGCGGTTGGTCCACTCCAGTCTGCACAAACTTAGACTTATCCGGTGCCGCCTGCACAGATGCAGAGGGCCCAGCAGAGACAACTGTCCGGCTAAAAACAGGTGGAGTAGTGCCCCAATCCACCGTGTGTAATGGTAAATGTGACGTTCACTACCGCTGTGAGGATGAGGCCCTATGTGGGGGCTATCTCTATGGAGCATATTGTTATGAAGAGGGACAAAATAGAACAAGCTACGTTTATCCCGATATTTCTTACTACCTTTGTGACGAAACATTTTCGGACTTCAGTCTGAACATAACTAATTTACCCTGGACAGAGAAGTGTGCGACCTTTTCATGCACTTTTTCGAGCGTTTGCGAGGTTAGTGAACTGTTATTTAGAACTCAAATGATATGGTGATATTTTACCACCATATAATTTGTAGAAGACATAACGCACAGGCAAGTAAATGTAAGATCTGAGAGAAAACAGCAACTGTACTGCTGCAAGTGAAAACTTAAACAAACAAGCGGCAGTATCGAAATTCAGTTTGGTAAACAAAGACCGCCAAAAAGTTACATTTTAATCAATCGACTTCTAAAACTTCTAATCAAGCTATCCCTCAGGTGATACCTATTTATAATAGTACAAGGTGTGTAGCACCCTGGAAAGATCCTCAGTACGGTGATGGTTACGATCTTTTTCCACTTTGTGCAAACTTCAGGGACCAAACAAATTGCACCGATCCAAACAGGTTATGAGGTTAAATGACTAAATAGGCTTAGAATTAGACTAATTAGACTAATGATACCAATGATACCAATGATACTAATTAGAATAGTTATACTAATTATAGTAATTAGATTAATTATACTAATTATACTAACTAGCAGGAACCCGAATAACCTTAAAGTGGTGTCAAGACTCAAAAGACTAAAATAATTATCACCTATTTAAATCGCGTTTTTGACACCACTTGGGGATCCACATTTTGGGCACTAAAATTCTTATTTCATGGTCAATTTTTTATTTTTTCATGCTGATTTGAAAAGCATAAAAGCATTTGAACCAGTCAAAAAAGTTTCAGTTGTATATCTTTTACAGTTTTTGCGGAAAGTCGCGTTAAAGTTGATGCCGTGGTGTCAGTAAAATGGCACGGATCCATATACAGGATTAAACAGGATTAAACAGGATTAAACATAAATTTGTCAATGAGAGCCCTAACACTCACGTCTTGACTATACATCAATATAATAGAAATAAATAAATAAATAATGTGCAAGAGTTTTCTTTAAATAAAAATTTAAAAATCATAAAAATTTAACTTCGTCACATCTTTTGTTGAAAGAGAAACAAGAGCAAATAAAATAATTTAATTCCCATGAACATGTTCCAAAATGATATGATATGGTGATCGTGATATGAAATGAAATGAAGCTCGACTTGACCGTCACGTGTCCGCAGAGGAGTTCTGTTGAGGTGTAGCGGGGACTTTACAGCTGGACTTCAGCAGATCCTTCTTAGTGACTTCCTTCTTCGGGAAACGCCTGTTGTTTGCTCTCACCAAGAACCTCGCTGTCTCTCTTATGAGGCTGGCATCTGTGAATAGCCCCTCTAAGTTAGCGAAAAGACAGGTTTTGGCTCTCTGACTAAAGCGGTGTCGGTAATCTTCATACAGGGAGCAGGTCCGGAGGACGTGTACCTCATTTTCGATGATGGGGTCGAAGAATGGCATTCCTGCGAAATTTTCGAGCATGTCCATGTCCTCTGTTGAGCAAGCTTTACATATCCGAGGTACGATCTGGTTTCTTTTGTGGGTTCCATGACGTCCTGTCTCAATATTGAAATTGTGTGAGCTTGATCTGAATTGAGCCAGCTTTTTGGATTCAGCGTGCGACAGATTCATATTGAGGTACTGCTCATAGCCAAAACTCATCTTTATGGTGTTGTAGAACGTTAGTGTCTTGTTGTTCCATCTCTCAGTGTTCCATATCTGCCTGAAGTTGGAACGCATCGCTTCTTTGATTTGTGAAGGTGAGAGTTTTAGATGATGTCCATTGGGTTGGTTTAGAACCGACCGTGCAGTCTCGATGTTGGTGTTCCAAGAAAGACTGAGGCTGCGTTGCTCTTTGAAGGCATGTCGCACAAGACTGTTAGATCCAGCTTTCTCCATTTTATCTAATCTTTCCCAGTAGTTATACACTTGGGATGATAGCTCTATCGCCAAAGGGTAGCGTCCTGTGTCACCCCAAATTGCCGCATTTGATGTTTGTTTATTGACGTTGAGAGTCCACTTGAGAAACGAGATGTGAAGTTTTTCTAGTGGATCTTGCCTAATCTGTTTTAGGTTGGGAAAGTTACCCGATGAGAAGGCACCCATGAAGTATGTCTGAGGGAGCCAAATCTGGCATCCATAAGAGACTACTGGGACAATAAGTGCATCGAAGAGTTTAAAGATTATCTCTTTCCTTATGTGTCGTAAGTCTATCATGCTTTTAAGCGAAAAATAACTCCGAAGTCCTTTCTGCCTAAGTTTGGACTGTGCGACCTTCAGGGATCCTGTCAGAGTGAAAGTCATTCCTAGGTACGTGTACCTAGGAATATATATATATATATATCGTCTCGCTTTATATAATACTAGCAGGAACCCGTATAATATAACTCTAAACGGTGTCAAGACTCAACAGACCAAAATAATTATTACCTATTTAATTCGCGTTTTTGACACCACTTGGGGGTCCAAATTTTGGGCTCTAAAATCACTAATTCTTGGCCAATTTTTTATTTTTTCATGCTGAATTGGAGGCCATTAAAGCATTTGACCCAGTCAAAAAAGTTTCAGTTGTATATCTTTTACGGTTTTTGCGGAAATTCGCTTTAAATTTGATGCCGTGGTGTCAGTAAAATGGCACGGATAAATAAATATATATATATATATCGTCTCGCTTTATATATAATAGTAAGATAGTAAGATGATAATAATAATACTAATAATACTAATAATACTAATAATACTTATAATACTAATTATATTAATTATACTAATTATACTAATTATACTAATTATACTAATTATACTAATTAATTAATTATACCAGTCAAAAAAGTTTCAGTTGTATATCTTTTACGGTTTTTGCGGAAATTCGCTTTAAATTTGATGCCGTGGTGTCAGTAAAATGGCACGGATAAATAAATATATATATATATCGTCTCGCTTTATATATAACTAGCAGGAACCCGTATACCCCTAAAATGGTGTCAAGACTCAAGAGACTATAATAATTATTACCTATTTAATTCGCTTTTTGACACCACTTGGGGTCCAAATTTTGGGCTCTAAAACTCCTATTTCTTGGCCAATTTTTTATTTTCTCATGCTGATTTGGAGGCCATTAAAGCATTTGACCCAGTCAAAAAAGTTTCAGTTGTATATCTTTTACGGTTTTTGCGGAAAGTCGCGTTAAAGTTGATGCCGTGGTGTCAGTAAAATGGCACGGAACCCCCCATATATATATCGTCTCGCTTTATATATAGTAAGATAGTAAGATAGTAAGATGATAATAATAATACTAAGATAGTAAGATGATACTAATAATACTAATAATACTAATAATACTAATAATACTAATAATACTAATTATATTAATTATACTAATTATACTAATTATACTAATTATACTAATTATCGTAATTATACTAATTATACTAATTATACTAATTATACTAATTATACTAATTATACTAATTATACTAATAATACTAATAATACTAATAATACTAATAATACTAATTTTATTAATTATGCTAATTATGCTAATTATACTAATTATACTAATTATACTAATTATACTAATTATACTTATTATACTAATTATACTAATTATACTAATTATACTAATTATACTAATTATACTAATTATACTAATTATACTAATTATACTAATTATACTAATTTTATTAATTATGCTAATTATGCTAATTATACTAATTATACTAATTATACTAATTATACTAATTATACTAATTATACTAATTATACTAATTATACTAATTATACTAATTATACTAATTATACTAATTATACTAATTATACTAATAATACTAATAATACTAATAATACTAATAATACTAATTTTATTAATTATGCTAATTATGCTAATTATACTAATTATACTAATTATACTAATAATACTAATTTTATTAATTATGCTAATAATGCTAATTATACTAATTATACTAATTATACTAATTATACTAATTATACTAATTATACTAATTATACTAATTATACTAATTATACTAATTATACTAATTATACTAATTATACTAATTATACTAATTATATTAATTATACTAATTATACTAATTATACTAATTATACTAATTATACTAATTTTATTAATTATGCTAATTATGCTAATTATACTAATTATACTAATTATACTAATTATACTAATTATACTAATTATACTAATTATACTAATTATACTAATTATACTGATTATACTAATTATGCTAATTATACTAATTATACTAATTATACTAATTTTAAAGCTAATACTAATTATACTAATTATACTAATTATACTAATGATACTAATTAAACTAATCAGAATGATTAGAATAGTTATACTGATTAATAATTCGACTAATTACACACATAGTTCTATTTGAATTGCAACTGATTGTTACATATTGTAACCTGAACAATTAACAGGGGTATCTTGACTTGCAATATAAAAGGATACAGTTCTACTTTGTCAATATTCTTGGTGTGTCATGGGTTGATGACAATTCCTCGACTTTGCGACGATGGAATAGATCAGGTAAACAAATTTGACCTTTTTTTCTAGTAAATGTTTACATCGATATACATTTCAATGGTTCTCTTTATGGAACTATAACATTGCGAACCTTAACGCAATAAGTCCAAATATACAATTTGTTTGAATTTATGTAAATAATTCTTTAATTGAAATAAAAGAAACAATAACATGGTTTTGCATAATGTGATCTCTCAGGCATGCGAGTCAGCTTCACCGACATGTTTTATTCACAAACACAGGCTCTGTGACGGCATAGAAGATTGCTTGAATGGTATCGATGAGAGTTTAAAACGCTGCAACTCCCTAACACAACAAAAGTGTCATAGAGCTTACAGACATGAACAACCGCTCAAAATTCCTTTGGAATGGCTTCACGATGGTGTAAAAGATTGTGTAGATGGGATTGATGAGGATGATAGCTGGCCAGTTTGCGGTTTCGGGCCAACAAACCGATTCATGGCCAAAACGAATCCAGCTTGTGAAGAAGTTTTCCTTTGTAAACTGGGACAATATGTTGAGTTTCAGGACCTTTGTAATGGTAAACATGCTTGTGGTCAAGAAAAGGGAGCTTGTGAAAAATCTCATGAGATGACTCCTACCTTTGATAAAGTTTTTAACACAGTCAAATTGGGGAAAATCGAAAAGCGCCTCATGTACTGCTTGCAAGGACTCACAGACATGCAAACAATTGCCGACAAATGTGTAAGAAAGGAAGTGAATTTAACAAAGCAGGACGTTTTTGGAGTAAATTCAAACATCACAATCATTTATCCGAATAAAATGTTTAACTGTGACTACGCGTTTGGGGAACTTTATTTAATTTTGAGCTGTTCAGGCCGTTGTAAAAATTCAACTTGTCCATTAAAGGAAACCTATCGATTTGACGCTTGTCCTCAGCAATACCCAAACCGGATCTACACAGTGGCACAAAACTCTTTTCTGACCTTCGTGACGAAAACAAGACACGGTTATACCAACGATCTCTTTACATGTCAAAACAACCTTTGTATAACACAAGACAAAGTTTGCAATGTTGTGGACGACTGCGGAGATGGTTCTGATGAAGAAACTTGTACCAACGTGTTTCGCTGTCACTCAAAAGAGCGGTTCATTCCAGTAACTGAGAAATGTGACGGAACTGTGGACTGCCTAGATTTCTCGGATGAGTGTAACTCAGACTGCGGTAAAAATATAGTTCAGCAAACCTTCCTCAAGTTGATGTGCTGGTTTTTTGGGATTTTCGCAGTCCTTTTCAATCTCATAACGATTTGTCGAACTTGGTTTACCGTCGAAGATAAGAACACGACAGTTATGCGGAACAGGCTCTTAGTGTTTCTGATCTCCGTTGGAGACTTCCTAATGGGAGTAAATTTGCTGTGGCTGGCTGTCAACGACACGATTGTGTACGGGGCAAATTATTGCATCAACCAGCTTGTTTGGCTGACAAGCATCAGTTGCTCAGTTATTGGCGTTATCAGCACGATTGGGAGCCAGATGTCATTACTTTCCATGACTTTTCTCAGTGCAGTACGAGTAGCTGGGATCAACAGGAAAAACACCGCGAGGAGGAAAGTTAAAAAGAAAGCAATTGTTCAGATAGGTTCGGTGATGGCAGTGATTTTTGTGATATCAGTGGCTATAGCAATAGTCCCCTTGGTGCCTTATTTTGATGATTTCTTTGTGAATGGTTTGACGTATGCCCCCTCAGTAAAATTATTTATAGGAGCACCAGGGAAAGAAGCTCATCTTAGTATACTACAAGAATACTACGGGAAAATAAAATCTGGGACTCTCAGCTGGAGAATTATAAACGATCTAGTTGATGGAATGTTTTCTAGTGATTATAAGGTTGATAGTCTTGGCCGAAAGAAGCTTGAATTTTATGGAAATGACGGTGTTTGTCTTTTCAAGTTTTTTGTAAAACCAAATGACCCACAAAGATATTATACTTGGACGATCCTGGCGATGAACATGTTTTGTTTTATCATCATCTCTGTATCTTACATATACATCAACATTACCGCTAATGCAGCCAGCCAGAAAATCGGAAACAAGAACAGAAAGCTACAACAAAAAATATCACTGATCATTTTGACAGATTTCTTCTGTTGGCTACCTATTGTCATAGCATGTTGCCTTCATTCCAGTGAAGTAATCAACGCCACACCCTGGTACCCAATCATTTCAATAGTTTTTCTACCAATAAACTCGGTTGTCAACCCTTTACTGTACAACGATTTTATGGCAAATTCAGCAAATTCACTTTTTAAGTGGTTGGAAACAACTCTGAATCCAAAATGTGTTCAAGAGGTGCCTCCTGATCCCACATATGGTATTGGTCACCATACAACATTAAGAACACTCAACCGGAAATCAAAAAATAATATGCAGAATGTGGTAAATAACATCGAACAATGTAAGAAAACTGACGATCCAGATCAAGTTGAAGATTGGCAAGATAACATTGAGCAAGGCAAAAAGACTGATGACCCAGTTCAAGATTTGCAAGATGACATTGAACAAGATAACCCAGTTCAAGATTTGCAAGATGACGTTGAAAAAGATAACCCAGTTCAAGATAACCCAAATCAAGATGACATGGAAAAAGATAACCCACTTCAAGAAAACCCAAATAAATATGACGTTGAAAAAGATAACCCAGTTCAAGATTTGCAATATGAAAGTGAAACAGATAACCCAGTTCAAGATTTGCAAGATGACGTTGAAAAAGATAACCCAGTTCAAGATGAGCAAGATGACATTGAAAAAGATAACCCAATTCAAAATTTGCAAGATGACGTTGAAAAAGACAACCCAGTTCAAGATTTGCAAGATGACGTTGAAAAAGATAACCCAGTTCAAGATTTGCAAGATGGTGTTGAAAAAGATAACCCAGTTCAAGATTTGCAAGATGACGTTGAAAAAGATAACCCAGTTCAATATTTACAAGATGACATTGAAAAGGATAACCCAGTTCAAGATTTGCAAGATGACATTGAAAAAGATAATCCAGTTCAAGATTTGCAAGATGACATTGAAAAAGATAACCCAGTTCAAGATGTGCAAGATGACGTTGAAAAATATAACTCAGTTTAAGATTTGCAAGATGACGTTGAAAAAGATAACCCACTTCAAGATGAGAAAGATGACATTGAAAAAGATAACCCAGTTCAAGATTTGCAAGATGACATTGAAAAAGATAACCCAGTTCAAGATTTGCAAGATGACGTTGAAAAAGATAACCCAGTTCAAGATTTGCAAGATAAGTTTGAAAAAGATAACCCAGTCCAAGATTTGCAAGATGACGTTGAAAAAGATAACCCAGTTCAAGATTTGCAAGATGACATTGAAAAAGATAATCCAGTTCAAGATGAGCAAGAGGACATTGAAAAAGATAACCCAGATTAAGATTTGCAAGATGGTTTTATAAAGATAACCCAGTTCTAGATTTGCAAGATGACGTTGAAAAATATAATCCAGTTCAAGATGAGCAAGAGGACATTGAAAAAGATAACCCAGTTCAAGATTTGCAAGATGGTGTTGAAAAAGATAACCCAGTTCAAGATTTGCAAGATGACTTTGAAAAAGATAACCCAGTTAAAGATGAGCAAGATGACATTGAACAAGATAACCCAGTTCAAAATGAGCAGGATGACATTGAAACAGATAACCAAGTTCAAGATTTGCAAAATGACATTGAAAAAGATAATTCAGGTCAAGATTTGCAAGAAGACGTTGAAAAAGATGACCCAGTTCATGATTTGCAAGATGACGTTGAAAAACACAACCCAGTTCAAGATTTGCAAGATGACGTTGAAAAAGATAACCCAGTTCAAGATGAGCAAGATGACATTGAAAAAGATAACCCAATTCAAAATTTGCAAGATGACGTTGAAAAAGATAACCCAGTTCAAGATTTGCAAGATGACGTTGAAAAAGATAACCCAGTTCAAGATTTGCAAGATGGTGTTGAAAAAGATAACCCAGTTCAAGATGTGCAAGATGACGTTGAAAAATATAACTCAGTTTAAGATTTGCAAGATGACGTTGAAAAAGATAACCCACTTCAAGATGAGAAAGATGACATTGAAAAAGATAACCCAGTTCAAGATTTGCAAGATGACATTGAAAAAGATAACCCAGTTCAAGATTTGCAAGATGACGTTGAAAAAGATAACCCAGTTCAAGATTTGCAAGATGACATTGAAAAAGATAACCCAGTTCAAGATTTGCAAGATGACGTTGAAAAAGATAACCCAGTTCAAGATGAGCAAGAAGACATTAAAAAAGATAACCCAGTTCAAGATTTGCAAGATGACGTTGAAAATGATAATCCAGTTCAAGATGAGCAAGAGGACATTGAAAAAGATAACCCAGTTCAAGATTTGCAAGATGACTTTGAAAAAGATAACCCAGTTAAAAATGAGCAAGATGACATTGAAAAAGATAACCCAGTTCAAGATGAGCAAGAAGACATTAAAAAAGATAACCCAGTCCAAGATTTGCAAGATGACGTTGAAAAAGATAACCCAGTTCAAGATTTGCAAGATGACATTGAAAAAGATAACCCAGTCCAAGATTTGCAAGATGACGTTGAAAAAGATAACCCAGTTTAAGATTTGCAAGATGACATTGAAAAAGATAACCCAGTTCAAGATTTGCAAGATGACGTTGAAAAAGATAACCCAGTTCAAGATTTGCAAGATGACATTGAAAAAGATAACCCAGTTCAAGATTTGCAAGATGACGTTGAAAAAGATAACCCAGTTCAAGATTTGCAAGAAGACATTAAAAAAGATAACCCAGTTCAAGATTTGCAAGATGACGTTGAAAAAGATAATCCAGTTCAAGATTTGCAAGATGACATTGAAAAAGATAACCCAGTTCAAGATTTGCAAGATGACGTTGAAAAAGATAACCCAGTTCAAGATGAGCAAGAAGACATTAAAAAAGATAACCCAGTTCAAGATTTGCAAGATGACGTTGAAAAAGATAATCCAGTTCAAGATGAGCAAGAGGACATTGAAAAAGATAACCCAGTTCAAGATTTGCAAGATGACTTTGAAAAAGATAACCCAGTTAAAAATGAGCAAGATGACATTGAAAAAGATAACCCAGTTCAAGATGAGCAAGAAGACATTAAAAAAGATAACCTAGTTCAAGATTTGCAAGATGACGTTGAAAAAGATAATCCAGTTCAAGATGAGCAAGAGGACATTGAAAAAGATAACCCAGTTCAAGATTTGCAAGATGGTTTTATAAAGATAACCCAGTTCTAGATTTGCAAGATGACGTTGAAAAAGATAATCCAGTTCAAGATGAGCAAGAGGACATTGAAAAAGATAACCCAGTTCAAGATTTGCAAGATGGTGTTGAAAAAGATAACCCAGTTCAAGATTTGCAAGATGACTTTGAAAAAGATAACCCAGTTAAAGATGAGCAAGATGACATTGAACAAGATAACCCAGTTCAAAATGAGCAGGATGACATTGAAACAGATAACCAAGTTCAAGATTTGCAAAATGACATTGAAAAAGATAACCCAGGTCAAGATTTGCAAGAAGACGTTTAAAAAGATAACCCAGTTCATGATTTGCAAGATGACGTTGAAAAACACAACCCAGTTCAAGATTTGCAAGATGACGTTGAAAAACATAACCCAGTTCAAGATTTGCAAGATGACATTGGACATTTCAAAAAAACTTATGATCCAGATCAAGATGACATTGAACAAGGCAAGGAAATTGGTAATACAATACAAGACGAACAATATGTCAATAAAAACCATTATAATTGCACAGGAAAAGAAAGTTAGTCCGAAATCCTACTAAAAGTTATAATAGTTGCTTTTAATGTTAATCTCTGTTGATCATTCGTTTTGACTGGATATTGGCTGATTTTATTCTCCTTGATCTTAAATGTTTAGAAATCGATTTTACTCTCACATTAAACGACAGGACCCGTTGTCTACTGATTCCATGATTGATTCCTATCGAACTTGGGGATCGTTCACATATTGTGTCTATATGTGGGAGGGGTTTTTGAAAAGTTTAAGTTCTTCTCATAAGCCATCAAGCCATGACAGTGGGTTTATCTATAACCAATAACCATGTCTGTGTTTATTTATCATGCAGGCAACATATTGACCATCTCTTCAACAACAGCTTCATTCTTTGTATCAGCTTTCTCCTCCGTCTTAATACAGAGAGAGTCACCGTTGTTCAGATCGTAAAAAGTGAGTTTAGAGTTGGGTTGTTCGATGAGTAGCACGTAGGTTCCAGCACCCAGGGTAGCCCCTACTATCGGACATATGACTGGTATCCAGCAGTAGTAGTCAAACGCCCTGTTGTTGAGATTAATAATTTAATAGAAATTAATTCAAATTAGATTATATTATCCAGAAAGATCAGTCAGACTTACGTAAACACGTGTAAATTATAGTTCTGTCTCTATTTCTGAACTCATTTGCATTCTATTACTCTATAACTGTGCTAGTGTGCTTCAAACTTACAACATATCAGCTGCTAACTTACGAGAACACGTGATCATATCCCAGTATCGCTGTCATTACCCTGGGAGCCAGATCTCGGGCAGGGTTGAGGGGTATCCCAGTATTGATCCCGAAGGAGAGGCCAATTGAGAGCACAGAACATCCCACTAAAATTGGAGTCACACCTGATATGACAGGTGGTATTAATTGTGTTATTTTTGTTGATAATTGTTTTGTTAATTGTTTTGTTAATTGAGTTATTAATTGTGTTGTTAATTGTGTTACGAAGATTTCATTCGAATTATGGTGTTTTACTATCCAACTTATTACATAATTGTGTTATTAATTGATCAATGTTCAAAAGAGTTGAGAAGTTGGTACTGAAACGATTACGATAATTATAACCGTGATCTGACTGGTGGTTGAAGTGCTTTATTTTCTCAGGACAACATAAAGTTTGTTAACTACCAGTGTTACATTTCAACGGTATTAATTTCTAAATTAAACCCTAGAGGGTCGTGCATACCAGCACCGTGATAATACCGAGAAAAATAAAACATAATTATAATGTATCCTACCTGGAGGTGGAGCGGATTTGTTCTTCTGGTCGACGAGACAGCTGACGATGAGGAGCAGAAGGAAGGGTGTGACCAGCTGATCAACCACCCTCCCTCCTACAGAGGTATCCGGGTGAGGGTAGGTGGCGAATATACCCCGGTAGTGGTCCTCCAATACCAGCTCACCTGATATCACTAGACGGTCTGTGGTGGAAGGGGATCAGGCATTTGTTATTTTAGTGCAGATGTCGTTTAGAATAGATAAGTCAAACGTTTTTCTCTGGCACAGGAAAGCATTTGTTATCTGAATGACGCGTTAACTATAATACTATAATGTTACCCCCCTCTCCACTGCCGCAGACAATATATTGCCAACTCAGCTTACCTTTAAACTATATACTTACCAAAATACTGAACAAAAACGAGGAGTCCCCCAAAGAAGCCACCAAACATTTGAGCAAATATGTATTTGGGAACCTTGCGCCATTCGAACTTCTTGACGACTGCAAAAGCTATTGTGACTGCTGGATTCATGTGGGCACCTGTAAAATATTATGCTATAGGTGGGGAGGTGAACAATAAAATCCCAGAATTATTACTGTCACATGACATAAAATTATTGAAATAATTTATTTTAAATCTTTTTATTTATTCGGTCTCAGTTTTAAGCTGTTTACAATGAACATGACAGGAATTCGCATGTTTAAACCTGAGATCCCCTCTGCAAGATAAACTCCAAACATCACTGCACATCCCCATCCAAAGAATATCGAGCTGAACGGTTCAGAGTCCTTTGCGTTCTTGTTCAGAAAGACGTACTGAGCAATTGCTCCGTCTCCAAGACCCTTAGGGGTTGTTAACATATTACTTAACCACCTTTAGCCTACATTGTATAAACTTATAAAATATGATACTAATTCACATTCAGCATATTCAGCATTAACACTACAACTTTCTCACCACAAGTACAAAGGTAGATAAGAGTTCAGCTGCGAACTCTTTGTCAAAAAACGTCCGTATTGCAGCAGGAAAAAACATGTTAGAAGACCCGATTTTGGTCATAAATGTGACAATCAGCTTGTCCGTGATCAGCGTGTTTCTGAAAAAGCCTTCGATTTGTGCTCCTCTGAGACCTAAAATGATCAAGGAGTTGTTATTTTGATGAATATTCAATATTACCCTTGTTATAATTACACGAAACATTCAAGAGTTGTTCGTGAGTGAGTTTTGGTCTACCCTGTAGATGGTAAAAAAGGAAGACTGCAGCAAAATGAAAACGTAACATTGAACTGAAGGCCGCGGTTAAATTGAGATACTTATATGAAAGCTCATTAGGAGTTAGGGTGCTCCCTAACAATCTCGAAGATTCATGAAAACTACATCTTTACAGCATATATTATGTCAAAGTAAAATATTCGATCAGGACAGAATGATGAAATGATCTCGAATGATCCCTTGCTGACCTTTAGATTGAAACATTTGTTACGACCTTCAAGAAAGCTCTAGACTGCTAATGAATTGCTATCTCGAAGATTTCTGGTAAACTGTAAGTTGTTGGGGGGTAGGCGACAGTGGGGTAATCTGTCTGGATCAGGAGAATTAGTTTTAATACATGTATTAAATCCCCATATTTTCAGCCAACCACTCTGCAGAAAATAAAATGTTACTTTTATTCCACGGAAATAATATACATGCTTATCAATTAGTTGATGAAAATTAATATTCGTCAGACTTTGAGAAAAGTCGGGCACATTTCTTAAGTCGTAATATAGTGATATCTAGCTAAAGCTGTAAATAGGTCATTACAGTGAGATATAATTTTATGATAAGCCGGACACAGTCAGTTCCCTGACGACATTCCAAGATGACATTAACAAAATTTTACTTTTATTCTACGGTGATAATATGCATGCTTATCAATTATAGATAAAAATGAATATTCTTGAGACTTTGAGCATAGTCGGGCACAAACATTTCTGAAGCTGTAAATACTCTGCAGTGGTGTCAGCAGTCCGATGTCATCACTCAATTAGTCACGTTTCAATTGTGACCCAGGAAGAATATGATGAATATGTTATTAGATAATAGTTATTATCACTTTGTATTAATACTAATATTAGTACTTTAGTATCGCGTTTCAAAACCTTCCCTCCTTACAAGACCTTTCATCGTGCAACTCACAGGTCGTCACGGTGGCTTGTAAAACGTTTACCTTACATCTTGCAGTAACTGTCAGTAATAACTTAATATTATAATAGTAACTAGTAGCTACTAAGTTTAATTCTAGTAGTTAATATATAGCTTAATATATAACTTTAAAAGAATATTCTTGCTCGACTGGGATCAGTTATCCCACTCATCAAATCGTAAGAATTTCTTTGAGGGTTTATTTCTATGAGAATTAATAAATCTTGAATTTTCAAACCCAGTGTATGACATTAATTAACCTTGTAATTTATTTGTTGTGTTAAACTCAACAATGAACAGTCGTGTAAGGCAAAGTTATATATACAACGCTGTTGTATAGCGGTGGGAAGTGTATGTGAAGTGATAAGTATGTACCACTCTCCCTATTTTCATCGATTCTTGGCAAAATGGTAATATCAAAGAAGCCCGGCCCAGTCAAGCGGATTATTCCGTGCACCTGAAATTCGGTATGTGAGCCAACCCTGCTTGCGATGATGTGAATCCTGCTAGTCTGGTCAGTAGACTGGTGCTGGTGATTCCAGTGAAAGTGCTGGTGACGATGTATATAAGAAAGGTAACCCAGAAGAAATTGAGAACTACCGTCCTATCTCCACACTGTCCGTCTTTGGTAAGATCTTTGAAAAGCTCATATATTCTAGAATATACGGATTTGTTAGCTCCCAGGGAGTTATATCGAAGACGCAGTTTGGATTTAGGAAATCTCACTCTACATCTCATGCAGTCAATTACTCTGTAAATTTGATTACGAAATCTCTTAAACTTAAGAATCGTGTTTTAGGAATATTCATTGACCTAAGCAAAGCTTTTGACACTATCGACGGCAATTCAGTAGTGTGGCATAACACGGTTAACGCACGGTTAAGGCACGGTTAAGGCACAGTTAAGGCACGGTTAAGGCACGGTTAAGGCACGGTTAAGGCACAAGGGTTACATAAGGCACGGTTCTTAAGGCACGGTTAACGCACGGTTAACGCACGGTTAAGGCACGGTTAAGGCACAAACTGCCCAAAAGCAACACTACTGAATTGCCGTAAAGTTTTGTTTTGCTGTTGGATTTTAAAATTTCCTTTATCCATTTGTTTTATTTGCAGCTTGTTTTATACTGACAGTATATAATTGAACACGATAAGATATTTTTAGAAGGCAGTTTGTGCCTTAACCGTGCCTTAACCGTGCGTTAACCGTGCGTTAACCGTGCCTTAAGAACCGTGCCTTATGTAACCCTTGTGCCTTAACCGTGCCTTAACCGTGCCTTAACCGTGCCTTAACTGTGCCTTAACCGTGCCTTAACCGTGCGTTAACCGTGTTATGCCACACTACTGAATTGCCCTATCGACCATTCAACACTTCTTATAAAACTAGAGGGATGTGGAGTGAGAGGAGTTGCAAATAACCTCATTAAAAGCTACTTGACAAACAGGCAACAATACACCGAAGTTGTAGGAGAAAAATCAGATACCCTATCTATTCAATTTGGTGTCCCACAGGGTTCAATTCTTGGACCTCTCCTTTTTCTTCTTTATAAGAACGACATCACAAACAGTTCTAAACTAGGATCATTTGTTACCTTTGCTGATGATACCAATATATTTGTTGTCGGCAAAACAAAACGTGAGGCATATGAACGAGGAAATGAGCTTTTGTCATCATTAAAGTCTTATATATGAGAGCGAATAAGTTACACTTACATATAAACATGTCCAAGTGCTGCTACATACACTTCAAACCCACCATGGCAGGTTCTAAGTTAGAGACTTTATCACACCCTGAAGTTGTATTAACTATAGACAACTTTCCAATCAAAAAGGTTTCATCCGCAAAATTTCTGGGTGTTATAATTGACGAGAACCTATCATGGGAAGATCACATCAAAGCACTTAAACGAACTCTAAATCATTCCACATCCACTTTATGTAGACTTCGCTGCTCCCTTCCAGAATTTCTACACCAACAATTATATTATACCCTGTTCGAATCACATCTTTCCTACTGTATATCTGTATGGGGTGGGGCAGCGAAACAACGTATAAGCTCATTATTTACTGCTCAGAAGTACTGTCTCAGAGTACTATTTGGTGACAGGCTGGCGTACCTTGATAAGTTTAAGACTTGTGCACGTACTAGGCCTATAGGACACCAGAATCTTGACCAAAAACTTTTCATAAAAGAGCACACCAAACCGATATTTAAGCATAATAATATTCTAGCTATACAAAATCTCTATACATACCACAGTTACCTCGAGCTCTACAAGATAATGAAATTCCGTGCTCCAATATCCTTACATGAGGGTTACACATGTTCCTCGAGGAAACCCTGCCTTCTAATATGTCAGGCAGACCCACCTGACAATCACAACACTAGATCAACCAAAATTTTTAACATTTTAACCCCAAAATTCAGAATGACTGACTTTACTACTAGTGTAATGTGCTTGCGAGGTAAGCTAAAACGTGCGCTATTAACGAATCAACATAATCACGCCCTGCTTGATTGGACTGTCAAAGATTTTGACTGCGCAAATCTTATTTCCCAAACATTATAACTGGCTGGTCACACACATCTCAATTAAAATTACCCTAGGCTACTGTTTTCCAAGTCTTGTCCTGTGAGTAAAGTATGTGTGAGAAAGTTTTAATAAAATGATTGTATATTTACTTTTGAATTTAAAAAATATAATTTGAGAATGAAGTTTAAAGAAATTTTTAATTAGCACTGTATAGTTTAAGATATTTATAGCTTATTATAACCATTGATACAAAGGCCATAATCTTTCGCCAGCTCTCCAATATCTAACTTTAAGCTGTATTTTATATCCTTGAACTACACAATATAAACTAAAGAATGTTTTAGTGTAGACTTTTTGTCACAACAAGACTGCAACCTATAATAACAACTATAAACAGAACCCCTAATGTCTGCTTACAATTTTTCTTCTAGTCCTAATCTGAGCCTTGTCTCTATAAACTTAACTGAGCTAGCGTTTCGGTGTGTGCAAAAGCTTCCAGGCACGCGCATTCCTTGCCCCGTTAGTTACCTGTCCTTCCAAAACCAAACTAGCAGTCAAGGACAAAAAGTCATACACCAAATGGGCATTATATTTTATGAATTGTTTTACATCTTTTTATTCTGTAAAAATGTGCTAAAATTAAATTTCTTGTTTCATTGAAAATTTCTTGTTTCATTGATGAGAAAGACCATATTGAGATTCCTTCGGGAGCATGTAAAATTATGTCTTAAGTTTGTTCGCCAATGGGGTGTGTCTGGGTGTCAAAGATCTTCAAGAAGGGCGCTACTTGTTATGAACTCTAGAAGGATGGGATGGTAATATTCGGTCTGGCTGCCTGGAAGCCACCAAAATTTACAGATGGGGTTACAGGGTAGGACTGAATTCATTCGTTTGGATTTAATCCAGCTCTCTTTTCGACAGGCTGTCTTGATTTCATAGAGATATAGTAGACAGTAGAGTACCAGGTCAGCATCAGGAATTGAAATAGTTGTTGTTGTTGTTTTAATGATAATTGATAGTACTCCACAGAAATTGAATGACTTTTATACCACGTTTTAATCGTAACCGTTAATTTCATTCGGTAATTTACTACGTTACAATTAATGCTAGTCGTGTTTAAAATTATTGGTTGCACAACTCCTGTTA